CAGCTGGGCCTGCATTGCTGGGGGATGAGGGCTTTTGGCACAGGTGTAGGGGACAAGACCCAGGGGACCCACCTGCATTGCTGGTCTGTGGGTCAGCACCGAGAAGGCAGCTTTTCCTTCTGCCATCGGAGCCAATTGCAGTCGGGTTGCGGCAGCAACGTGCCACTATCAAGGTCATAGTCTATTCAAGAGAAGGAAGAAATAAAACCTGGGAAATGACAAATTGTTTGGAGAGTGAGCGAACCAGGAAAGGATCCAACCAGTGCCGCGATTCAGGCAGGAGTGTGCTCACTGTCAGACCTACAGGCAGCAGAGCAGGTGGCAGTGTCATCAGCGTCATGCCGGGGGGGGGATAGGATGCGTGACGGTGACGACTGACAGTGTTATAACGTGTTATAGTGAGAAGAGTTCCTGGGGCTGCTGGGTGGGTTGCCTGGGCATCGGGGAGCGTGGCGGTGCTAGAGACTTGGCTGTGTTTGCCGTGGTGGCGAGTTTCAGCGCTGCACAAGTTTAAATCCCGTTTTGCCGTTTAGCAAGTGACCCAGCCCTGTGTCCCCATCATATGGCAGCAGCAGGACTTTGGGAGAACACAGGCAGCTTAGCTAAAGGAACTTCCCCCGCTCAGGGCAGCACAGACGCCGTGGTGTGGAGCGGGTAGTGCCGGGGAGCAGATGAACCCCATACCCTGCCTGGTTTCCCCTCTTCATATTCTAAAGGGGGTCCCACTTAACAAGCATCTTATAAGCAGCAGATAAAGGATCTGCCTCTCGTCTGCATCAGTGCTGCTCCCAAGAAGCAGCAGGTTCTTATCTCATCCTTCCCTTTTAATTTTTCCTGAGCTTTATTTCAGTTCCTTGTTTTAAAAGTGCTGGCGCCAGAGCAGATTCACCTCCATTTTAGGGAGACGTAGTCCTCCCCCAGCATCAGTGAATTGTAGACACACAAAGACTCACCCGCTACCGGTGCTGGGAGCTGTGCAAGCCAGTGACTAAGCTGAGTGTCTGGGATGCCGGAGCCAGCTGCCAGACCGGGGAATGGTGGAGTGTGGAGGGGAGAAGGACAGCCGTAGCTGAGTCAGCCCTCCAGCCAGGATGAGAGCTGGGTTGTTGAGTTTGCCTGCAACGAGGCTGCACGCCCATGCTGCTTCTCTAGTTGTACATCTGTTCTGGAGGTGAGGAACACGCTCCCCCCCTGCACAAAGCTCTGGGATGCTCTGGGAGCCCAACCTTGCTGTGGTGCTGGGGAGGGCCAGGCTCTGCCCAGGTTCTTGGTGCCTTTTTGAAGGGGCTCCTGGACCCAAAGGGAGCCAGAGAACCCTTCAGTGTGTCATTAAATCTGGATTTGCCCAAGCCATGTCTAGGGAGGCAGGCCCATTTCACCCTATAAGGTGGGAAGCAGGATTGCTCTGTTATCTGTGTTGCTCTGTGTGTTTAGGATGGGTCCCCTTGCCTTCATCTCATCCAGAGTGTGTCCCTCTTCATTTCCCTCCTCCTTTGTTACCTTATGCTGCAGGCATCCTTCCAAAATGCACCGGGCTCCCTCCTTCTCCCCATTTAATATTATTCTTCTTCTTCAATCTGGTCTAGTACTGTCCATCTCGCCTGCAAAGCACAAAGCCGCTCTTTCTCCCATTCATTCCTCTGGACTGGGGTTAGCATTTCAATTGACAATTGTGCCATTGATTTGCGCCCTGACGGTGGGGTTTGCAGTAAATGCCAGGCAAAGGGACTCAGCGGGGTTAGCGAGGCACTGGAAATGAGCCCTGTGTCTTCTGAAGCTCCGGACTCAATTTTGGAGGGAGGGTGGTGGCAGGGTCATGCCTTCCTCCTTCCAGGGGGGCAAGCCTTTCTTTGCAGTGTCAAAAGCAGCCTTGGGCTTGCTAGGAGAGGCATGTCCCCTTCTTTGGGGCCATAGTGTGGGCCATTAGATGCCCTCTGCCTTGTCATCTCCAGTTCTTGATGCCATTTATACCCCAGTCTGGGGGTGCAGGGTTGCTCCCCGTGATCCTGCCAGGTGAGAAGCAGAGGCGAAGGGGATCAAACCATTTGCCTAAGCCGAGCTGTTTAAGGCAGAGCAGGGGCTGAAGGCTAGCTTTGCAGGTCAGCTGGAGGGCTGATGCAGAGGCAGAGGGACCCCAGCACCCGCTCGTGGAAACACCTTTAAAAGGCTCCCGTCCAGTTCAAGTTAAATCAGTGCTGGAGCCGCAAACACGCTTCTGGGCCCTGGCTAGCAGAGCTGTTTACTCTCAGCTTAGTGATTCAGTGCAGTCCCTGGGGAGCAGTAGGATAAATAATACGTTGGCGCCAACCAAATTATTGTTTTGGGCTTGTTTCTGGCTGTTTGGAGAGAAGTGTGTCCTTGCAGGTTGGCACAGTTCTCAGAGCTGAGCTTAAGAAGGAAGCAGTGTTGTGAAAATAAAACTCAAAATGAAACCAAAGGTAATGGGATCACATGGAGCTGAAGTGTGCAAAAGAGTGAGGTGGAGAAAGAGGAGTGGGGAAGTGTATATTTTCCCAGATTAGCAGCAAGTTTAGGGGCTGGGCTGGAGGTTTGAAAACGAGAGCAAAGTTTGCTAAGTCCGATCAGACCTGCTTGTGGCGTGTCGGTGATGGGTTGTGCTGGCAGTGGTAGTTGGATGGGGGAGAAGGGCTTTAGGGGCTCCCGTGTGGGGGGGCTGTTGCCTGCCTGCTCTGCAGGTTGGGCCAAGAGGGGGATTTTGAGCACTGCTGGGAAGGGGGCTGGTGAAAAGGTGATTAGTCCTCTCCTCCCCAGCAAGCATAGCCTGAATCTGTGGCTGGTGGGGTGCCCAGGCTAGCTGGTGTGCCCGGCTGGCTTCCCGCTTGTAGGGCTACTTAGGCAAATGAGTTGCATAGTCACTCGGAAGAGACTCGATGCCAGCTTCTCCAACAGGCAAAGTACGTGCTCAGGGAGGGGACGGGGAGCGGGCAGGGACTGTTATCCAGCTGGGCTTTCCTGGCTGTGGGGTCCTGTCTGCTGAATCCCCCTCTGCTGCCAGGCAGCCCCATGGCCTCTGTCCCGCAGTACAGGAGAAGGGCAGCCCAGAGGTGCTGCGTTAGCAAGAAGCTGCGGGCTGGAGGGCACAGATGGTTTCTGTACTGTGGCACACCTTCGCCCTCTCTCTTTGTGGCTGAGGTGCCCTTGTGAAATGGTGGCCCGTGGGTCTGGCGGGGTTTCCCGTCACAAGGTGGTGGCTGGCAACATCCCCTGTTAGCCAAGCCGGGGATGGGAAACCCTTGCTGGCTGGGTGCAGTTTAACCCCACAGGGATTAGAGACCACGAGGAGGTACGACCAGCGCTGTGGAGAGGAAAGCCGTAAATCAAGCAGGCATTCAGCAGCCCCAGTGACCTCTAACAAGTATTTTTTACTTTTGGCTGTGCGGAGCGTTGGCAGGACCCCTGCGTGGCTTGCTTCGGGCAGAGGGGAAGTGCTGGACTGTGCAAAGATTGTCCTTTGCCCGTCCTGCCAAGTGCCCCTATAAATAGAGAGGGACACGTGCCACTGATTAATTGCCTGTCTGTGCAGGCAGCCAGCTCCCGAGGCAGACGCAGCCTTTGTCTGTCTGCTGGGAGCAGCAGCACTTGCCAGGAGAGGGGCCCCCTCTTCTCTGGAAAAGGGAAAAGAGGGAGAGATGAAAACGGAGTGCCCTGTCTCGCTAAGCAGAGGTCAGTCCTGATCGGAGACTTTTCCCCCTCGGAGGAGCAATCCCTCTCACGTCATTGCTGCAGATGACGGTGGGGGACAGGGTAGCCTACGGCAGTGCACATGTGCCACGTGCATTGCACCCTGCTGCGGAGCTGGGCCCCGGCATGGCTGCTCAAAGCTGCCCAGATGTGGCCGGACCATCCCGGAGAGGGATGCAGGACCAGCGGGCCCCACTGAGGGACAGCAAAAGCCCCAAGGGATAAGGTTCACAACTGCGCTGCCCTGCAGGGCCAGCCTCCTGCACTGCAGCTGGCAAGACAGAGGCGAAGGGAGGATGTTTTTAGGACAGAGGAGCTGGAAAAGCCAGAAGGTGAGAGAGAGGAGGACGGGCAGTTCTTCCTCCCGGCTGGACCTGGAAAGCTTCCCGTCTGCAGCAACCGGTTGTGACACAGGTCCTAGGTCTTGCAGTTCACTTCTTGTTCACGTCTGGGGCGTGCAGCCCATGAGTTGTGGTTTTGTTTGCACCCTTCCCCTGTCGCATGTGGGCTCTGACCCGGGGGCTCCAAACCTTGTCCATCCCTCCTGGCCTTTGCAGGGAGGATGCTGACAATGCAGCTGGAGACCGGTGAGGAGAGGTGTGATGCTGGGCTGTGGCTGGGAGGAGATGATCTACCCCATGGGCACGGGGAGGTTGACCCACAGCTGCAAGGCAGCACAGCAGCTCCTGTCCCGTTCAACCAGATAAGAACTCACAGCTCCAATTAAGCTTGTGCAAGGTCCCAAAGCAGGGCACAAAAAGCTGCAGGCATGTCAAATGCAAGAGGGTATGGGAGCTAAATCTATGAGGCAGTTGCCTGGAGTGGTTGTCAGAGGAGGGCCAGAGAGGGGAGGGAGCTCTTCATCTCAAAGCTGGGAGGCAGGAGGCACTCGGCCATTAGAGCAGGTGGGATGGCAGCGCTCACTTGCCTGCTGCAGAGCCAGTTCTAAGTCACTTTGAGCTTCTGCTCTCCTACAAGAGCTCCTGCAGCAAAGTTTCCCTTCCTCCTCCACCACCACCAGCCCTGCAGGGGCCAGGCGGGGCCATGCCATTGTGCAGCTCCCCTGTCCCCTGGGGCCAAGGGGACAATAGCTCTGCTCTGAGCCTGGGAGCTGCGTTTCCCTGGCTGCCTGGCGCTGGGCCAGCCATCCCAGAGGGCCCTTAGCCCCGAGTCCTTGTTTTTCTCATCACTGGCACGTAGAACATTGAAAGGGAGTTGATCAGCCTGAGCTGGCTGCGGGTACTCTCTGCAGTCTGCTTCAGTTCCCCTGACGAGTGTCTCCTCTGTGCTGTTTCTAGGTGCAAAAGAGTATGTATTTCCCAGGAGTGAGAAGTACCCAGTCTTCTATCATAATCAGAACAGCTCAGCCATCTATGTTGGCGGAGAAGGAAAGCTTTATTACTACGATTTTGCAACCTATGAGAACCACACGGTAAGGATGCTCTGCTAACAAGTTTACCTTTAGAGCCCTAAAAGAAAGTGTCCAGCATTCGTCTCTCAGCCCAAACGCTAGATACCTTGCTCAGTGTCTTTGCCAGCAGCAAAGTCAGGCCTAGAATGGTCTGGACTCTGCCCAGCCTGCCTCATCCATCTGGGAAGCCGCAATGTTAGTATGATGAATGGCTGCAGCAAGGGGGAAGTCTATAGTAGCTGTGGGTGGGTTCTTCCCAGGCTGTGATCCTCCTAAGGTCTTTGCTGCCCCAGAGGGAGGATTTTTCCAGTGAGGGACCCTTTCTTTAGTGTGAGAAGGGTTGCTCAGAGTCATGTCACTGGGGAGAAGCTAAGCTCCCATCTCTTTCTGTTGTTGGAGCCCAGGCTGCTTTTCCTCAAAAGCAGGAGGTTCTGGATCAGCTGGGCACTGAGTAAATACAGCAGGAAAACCCTCCAGTTGGCTTTCTCATGATCCCTTCTTGTCCTTCTCAAATAAGCCAGTTGCTGAAGTTTGGGCTCAGATACGTCCCTTCTTGGTCCCAGGAACAGCGGGGTTCAAGTGTCCCAGCCCTCAGACACCATCACCCGCTGTTGAACACCCATTCCCTGCAATGACAGATCCTTTCCCAAAATCCTTTGGAGAGCAGCCCAGGCTGGCTGCCAGTCATGCCTGCCGCTTTGGCCCTGCATCCCCACTTCTCCCCATCACCCTGAGGTCCTGAGAGATCCAGCCCAGCCTCCCCAAGGGTTTTCAAATGCTGAGGCAGGGAAAAGGGCTGCGTTGCAGTGTTCAATGACCTTCTTGCCAATGTGCTTGCTTTGCTTCTTGTGAAGAGAGTGACTAGCATGTAGTGCATGGGGCCGAGCCCAAGTCAGCTGGCTTTTAAAGTGAAGGAATTAAAGCATATCTCTTTCTTTTTTATCCTAGGAGGACTTCCCAGTGAAAAATGAAGGACAGTGCATGATGCCTGGGAGTTTGGTAGGTCCTACCTGTGATGGAATAGCATGTGGAACAGCTGGATGAGTGAGGGTTGGAGGACTTGGGTTGAAGGACTGCTGGGGAAGGAACTGTGTATGCTCCTCACATGCTGTCTTTGGGTGAAGACCTCCAGTACCTGTGGAGCAGGAGATCAGATGAGATGATACTAGTTTCCTTCTCTGGTTTTAAGACCCATGAAAAAACTAGGAAGCCATACAGCAGTGTGCTTGGTAGTGCTGTGGGCTTGGAGCTGTGGGGCTGTGCTCTGCCGTTTGCAGCTGCTCATGCTCCTCTTCTTTCTCTTGCAGGAGGACAATAAAAATTACCTCACGTTAGTGGAGAAGTATGGAGACGGGATGTTAGTGTGTGGGACTGGTGCCTGCGCTCCCACCTGTTGGAACTTGGTATGCTGTGGCCACCTGTGATGGGACCAGAGCAAAGCACTTGCTGTTTTGTTTTGTGCTGTCTCCATCTGTAAAACAGTGCCCTGATCCCCACTCCTTCTCAGAGTGCTCTGAAATGCCCAAATGCCAACTCCCTCAAGGAGCTTATGGTGACAGCATGGGACAGCCCGCATGAGCAGAGGTCTGCACACGCCTCGTCTGTGCTCACTTGTCATAGTCCCTCTCCGCTCACCTCCTGCCTGCAGCAGGAGCTCTGCCTGGCCTATTTGACGATGGGCTGCATCCTTCCCTCGTTTGGGCTGTGTCAGCCAAGCAGAGCTGCTTTCCTCCTGCCCCAGGGGTAGATGTGGGCACCTGGCTCTCCTGCTTTCCCTGAACTGATCACACTTAGGGACCATTTCTGTCCTTACCCAGACGCAGAGAAAGGAGCGCACTTCATGGGATGGGAGAGGTATTGCTCCTTTCACCCCTGACTCGAATACCCTCGTTGTCGTTGATGGTAAGTCTGGCTGCTCGCATATTTTCAGTCATAGTGCTGTGCAGGAAGGCTGGGCTCTCTAACAAAAAGGGGCACCCTGAGGCTGCTCCAAGGGCTTTGTCCCTCTATTCTAGTTGGCAACTGGCCTTAGCACTTCTTGCTTTTGCCTCATCGAAATCCACATCCTTCTAGGGCAGCGCATGGCATAAAGTTTATTCCTATCCAGGGTATGAGGGTTGAGTCTCTGTGCGGAAGGGTAGAGTGCAATGGAGACAGTGGGGCAGGAGAGTCCTGCAGTAACTCCACTGCTCTGGGCCTGGCAGAGGGACAGAGGAGGATCCTTCCCAGAGGCAGAGCAAGAATCTGTCCCTGCCACTCTTTAAGGAAAAGGACTGGAGGAGTCCTGCCAGGCCTGCTCCATCCTAGGTAGTGAGGACTGGGTTTCTTGACCTGTATCCACCATCTCGGTGAGTCCATGTGCCCAGAGAGTTCTTGGTTCTCTGTTTTCTTCTCACAAATGCTTCTGGTCCCTCCGGAAACAGCCTGCTGCAAATGAACCTTCCTGTCCCATAGGTCATGACATCTACTCCACCATCAAGAAGAGCCAGCAGAACGGCAAGATACCCCGTTTTCGTCGAGTGAGAGGGGGTGGAGAGCTCTACACAAGCGACACAGTGATGCAGAGTAAGTATGGGGGAGATTCTGAAAGCATGGGACCTGCCACTTTGTCTCACCAGGCAGATAAGTTGGACTCTTTATCAGTCCACAACTGTGGGCCATATGTACACAGCACAGCTTGGAGGGGTAGATCCTCTCTGCCCAGCTGGGGTGTAGCCCCAGAGCTTCTTGTTTGGGTTTGGTCACCCCTAGAGCTGTGGAGAGGGCTGATCTGGTCCCCACCTGCAATGCCGGTGAGGAGGGACCCAGTGGCTCCCTCCAGCTCTCTTGCTGCCAGCTGGGGGAATTTCAGCTCTTCGCTTCTGGGACAAAACAACTCACAAGTGAGCTCCTCTTGCTCAGGGTGAGATGAGGAAATGGAGAGAAATGGGTGGTAAGTTCCCTGTCAGATGCTGGAAGAAAACATGGTTGTGTGAAGGTGTCCATCAGCTGCCATGCAGTGGTGGAAACAGGAAGAACAACTTCCACTCCGGGCAGTGACTCTTTCCAAATCCCCAGCCAGGGTGAGGTCTTGAGGCATGAAGATGTTGGGCAGTGCATGGGACAGGGTGGACAATAGAGAGAAAGGACCCTCCTCAATTTCCATGAGCTTATTACATTGCCTTCCCCCAAGCCTCCCCAGTGACACTAGGGAATGGGAGATTATTGAACCCCTGGCCAAAGACAAAATCAAAGCAAAATGACACCAGGGCAGAACAGGACTTGTTCATGCAGGGCAGTGGAGGGGGGGCAACCAAGGCACCGGCAAGAAAACCTGATAGACCCAGAGCCACACTTACACAGAACTCCCTGCCATGGGGACACCAACTAACGATGCTCAGAAGGACTCTGCCGCTGCTGGGGATGCCCTTTGTGGCAGTGGTGTATTAATAGGAAGAGCATCATTGGGTTTTCCACAGCAAACACAAACAAGAGTGCAGCTTGTTCCCACCGAGGAAGCCTTCCTGTATGATGATAGCTCCCCTGCAAAAGAAGGAAGAATGGGTTTCCTTCGCTGCTAAACAGCTGAGGCTTCACTGGGCTCTGGGGACTTGGCCTTCAAGGGAGCGGGTGCGTGGAGTTGCGCAGGAGGGAGAGGAAGGCAAACCCACTGGGAAGGTGGCACATGAAAAGTGGTTGTTAGTGTGTTAGTATGACGCACCAGTCAGGTATAGACGATGGGCTCAGACCTGTCCTTTGCCTGGAGCACAGATGGTGTTTGCATTTCCTCCTCTTGTCTGAGGGTGAGCGGTTAGCTGCAGGGCATGCTGGTTTGGTCCCAACTGGTGGCTTTTCAGATGAAATGTGTGTTCAGGCCAAGGTTTTCTGATGGCTTGCTTCCCTTTTCAGACCCTCAGTTTGTCAAAGCCACCACATTAAGGCACGAAGAGCCTCACCAAGACAAGATTTACTACTTCTTTCGCGAAGACAATCCGGATAAGAGTCCTGAGGCCCCTAGAAACATCTCCCGAGTGGCCCAGCTGTGTAAGGTACCATGGGAATAGTGTATGGTGGGGAGGCAAGAGTGTTACAGGGGTGGCAAATGGACATGGCAGCTCACCTAGTGTTATTGGCCCCTCTGGCTCAATTCTCTCCTCTGCCACAGAGTTCTTGTGTGGTACGGCCATGTCCTTTGGCCTTCCCATCCTCTGGCTCCCATCTTGCCTGTAGGGGGGAGAAAGCCCTGTTCTGTCTCTCTCGTATGTTGGAGAGGTACATGATTGTTGCAGTGACCGGCAACAAATATACCTCTGGAGCATCCCCCAGTTATCCATCCAAGATGGTGGACGGGAGGCACTTTGTATTCTTCTCTGCCAAACTCTGACTCCCTGCTTTCCCTCTCCCCCAGGAAGATAAAGGGGGAACCAGTTCGCTCTCTGCTTCCAAGTGGACCACTTTCCTGAAGGCCAGCTTGATTTGTGTTGACCCAGTCACCAAGGGCAACTTCAACTGGTTGCAAGATGTCTTCTTTGTCCCTGCAAGTAACTGGCGACACTCCAAAGTCTACGGGCTCTTCACAAACACCTGGTGAGAGTCTTTGCAAAACGGGCAGATGGGCTGTTTGGGCCAAAGCCTTTCTGTCAGTCCTTTAGTGTCTCTGGCAGGCACTTGGGTGGCAAACACGGTCCAGCTGTAGGGGTGATGGCCAATGTCTCCCTGACCCTCTCTTTGTCTTATCGCCCACAGGGGAAGCTCTGCTGTTTGCGTCTATTCCTTTGGGGACATTGACAACGTGTTTCGGACGTCCAGACTCAAAGGCTATAATGGTCCCAACCCAGAGATCAAGCCTGGGCAGGTGAGTGAGTGACAAAAGATGCCCACATGAAGTGGAGAGGCCTCCTGAGGCCAGGAGAGCTGGTCCCTGCTCCGCCACTGCAGTTGTCAGAGTAGCTGGGGCAGGTGAGGGGATGGTCCCACCGCTGAGCAGCCAGGTGAGCACTGGGGCAGCGAGGAAGGTTGTAGGCACTGCGGGAAGGATCTGAGGTTTGTTGCTGGAAACAAAAGGAGGCTGGATAAGGTCCAACACCTTCATAGAAAGCAAGGGGAGATGGGCTCTGCATGCCTCGGCAAACAGGTTTGTGAGCTCTTGCGTGTGAAGCTGGAGGACAGTGTCTTGCCTTGCGTTTGCTAACCCTGGGGGTTCACCGAGCCAACCTGCAGCCTGGCCTGTGGTTGCAGGCACACCACTGACCTGGCACCAAACAGCAGGGTGGGGGGAGGCTCCCCTAAGCCTCAGGGGTGGGAGGGTGTGTGTGACAGGGCATAAGGCTCCTAAACCGTGACTTCTGCAGGGGAGATCGCTGGTGGGGCCTGGCACGAGCGCAATCACAGCAGCCCCAGGGCTTGTGTTTACTCCCAGGGCAGGCTTGTGCACCGTGCCTGGGCATCCCCCTCTGGGCTGAGGTATCCACGCTGTGCCCTGCCTTGCTCTCCTGCCCTCGAGCCTCATCCTCAGGGACCTGTCTGACTCTGTCAGTGGCTTTTGTCCCCTCTTGCTGCAGTGCGTTTCCTCTGGACAACACACCCCGAGCGAGACCTTCAAGATAGCTGACAGCCACCCGGAGGTGGAGGACCGGGTGGAGCCCCTCTCCCCCACCAAGAGCCCCTTATTCCACAACAAGCACCGCTACCAGAAGATTGGGGTGCACGAGGTCTCTGCGGGTGATGGACGCCGCTACAATGTGCTTTATCTGGCGACAGGTACTGGGAACCATTCTGTCTGGAGTTCCCTGGAGTTTGCTTTCCCCTGGAGGGTAGGGAACCCAAGGGAAGCAGACGAGACCCCCAGTGCAGAGCGAAGCAAGGGGCTATGTTCCCAGTTTGGCATATGTTTGTCAAGCAGAAAAGAGCTGCCAAGTCCCAGTACAGCTAAATACATCCAATTTGGCTGCATAGGCAAAGACAGGCTGAAAGCAGAATCCCAGCACGTGGGATTTACCCAGTTGGGCTGCTTCAGCCTGTGGTAGGTCTCAGGCCAAGTGTTTTAGGGCAAGGAAGGGGTAGCACAGCTCTCCCCAGGTGGAGCTTTACACTGTCAAGCAGAAATCCTTTGCAAAGGGACCCTCTCCGTCATCTCCTGTCCCTGCTTGCTCTAGTGCAGCAGCGCAGACTTCCTGTGAGGCCAGCACCTCCAGCTGGAGACACAGCCAGCTGATCACAGCTGCTGGTGGTCCTGGGGCAGCCGGAGATGCTGCGGAGCTGGGCCAAGGCAATTCAGCTGCAAGTGAATGGGATGGAGAGCAAAAGATTGGCAAGCTCGGTTACGCAGCTGCCTGGGTTCCCATGCAGTGCAGCTACCCGCTGCCCAGAAGGTGCAAAGGTTCCTAACCCAGTGCTTCCCTCTCTTGCCTGCCTGCCTCCCCGGGCTTGCTCCCTGCAGCTGTGCTCATCCCTTTTTCTGCACTGTGCTGGGATTTGTTCACTGGCACTTGTGGAGGGACTTTCTGGGGTTTTTGTTTCCTAATCTGTGATTAAAAAAATGCAGACAGCTCTCAGTAGGTGGCCTGTGTTGGATTTGGGCCCACGCATGCTCAGGTTGTTCTTATCTTGCCGAAAGCCTTTGCTTAAATGCAGCTAACGCCTTGCAGACTCCCGCCAGGGAGCTTACTCCAAGATGCAGGGCTTGGCAGGGCAGCTGCCCACCCTCACTGGGGTGGGTGGAGGCAAGGGCCAGCACCTGGGGGGTCCTAATCCCTGCCTGACCTGGGGTCACGTCTTTCATCTCCACCTGGTTGATGGTGGAGAAGGGAGTGACTATTTGGGAAGGGGAAACCATGCAAGAAGTAAAAGAGGGTAAAAAGGATGAGGATTCCTGAGCCCTGTTCCCTCAGGATCTGCCTTTCTACCCCTCCACCAAACTGACTCATTTTCTTAAATCACCAGTTTGGAGTCTTTTAACTGGGGAGGGGAGTCAGTTTAATTAGAAAAACAGAAAGGCAAACCCAAGTTTCAGCCTCAGGCGAGCAGTGAGATGAGGCTTATGCAAGAACAGGCCAGTGATCAAAGCAGAGTGGAGCTCAAGAGCAGTTGGTTTTTCTTGCTGAGGCTGTTCCAGCGCAGCTGATCAAAGCAGGCACAGCTAGGTCCGGAAGGGTGATGGGAAGTGGGTTCCTCATGGCTCTTGGCTGGGAGGATGACAAGGCTGTGCTGTAGGAAACGCTACTCTCTGGGGGACGATTTCCTAGCAGAGCAAGCAGCCTCCTTCTGAGAAAGGTCCTGTCTTCTGTGGGTGGCTGGTTTCAGGAATCCAGTCCAGCCTGGCTCTGCAGAGTGGGTATTGTGTGCCACAGCGAGGGCTGGAGGCAGAGCTGGTTCTCTGCCTGGCTTCCCCACCTCTGCCGGCAGCCCCTCTGCCTTGCCTTTCTGCTCTCAGCACGCTTCATCAGGGCTCTCCCCTCTTTCTTTCTAGACAGGGGATCCATCCACAAGATCGTGGAGCTGCCGGACGGGGTGCAGAACATCATGGAGCTCCAGGTCTTCCCAAAGAAGGACCCGATCCAGTCCATGATCTTGGACCACAAGAGGGTGGGTCTCTTCCTGCTCCGTAGAAAGGAAAGCAGTGGGTCAGGCTGTAGCTTTAAAAGCAGGCAGCAGGGAAGGCAGAGACAGATGGTTTAGTGACAGCCCCTGGATCTGGAAGTAGCCTCTGGGTGGGTTTGTGGGGGGTCCCACAGCGTGCTTTGCTAAATCCTAACAGCTGAGCTGATGTCCCCAGTCCTGGGTAACTCTCTGTGTGGTCAGTGGGCAACGGAGCTTTTTGGACACCTCCTCTCCTCTAGAGGCAAGGGAAGAACGAGGCTGTTTGCTCCCTGGGCCAAATCCCAGCACAGTGTTCTCCTCCCCCTGCAGTTTCCCTCTCGTTGTCCAGCCTTGCTGGCAGATGAGCTGTCAGACAGCGCTAGTGCTCTGTCCCAGAGTTGACAACACCGCTGTCACTGGTGGAGCAAACTTATTTATACACAGGGCTGGTGGGGGAAGGATGACTGCTTTCCCTCCCATGATAGGGACATATGGCTGCATTGCCTGGAGACCTACCAGCCCTGCTGGTGAAATCCACCCCAGTATCACAGTGAAGCTGCAGGAGAAGTGCTAGACGCTTGTAAGGTGGCACTGGGACACAGTGCTGAGATGATCAGCCCCTCTGCTTCCCTCCTGCAGGCAATGCTGTACATCGGCTCAACAGATAAAGTTGTGGAGATACCCATGGACATGTGCAGGGTGTATCGCAACAACTGTGACAGCTGCTTGCTGGCGAGGGACCCGTACTGCGGGTGGTTCAATGGGAGTTGTCAGTCAGTTTATCTAAACCGGTATGTGGTGCAGACAGCTTGCTGTTTCTCCGTCACCTTCAGCTGGCTTCTTTCATGTGAGAAATACCCAGACCCTCAGTATTCCCCTTCCTGGCCAGGGCCACACATGGTTTTGAGGCCATCTTCCCATCACAGAGAGAGATGAGCTCATCCTGTCCAGGCAGTAACAGCACGGACGTCTGTGCTGTCCCCAAAAACTGCACCTCTGCAGGGATCCGTCCCTCCTGCAGCACTCCTGCTCTGGAGGGGGAGAGGTCAGTGGGTTTTGAGCACCCAGCCCCTCTTTTGCTGTTAGAAATGTGTGTAGCTCTGCTGGTTGTGATGCTGTTTAAAGCAGTTGATAGTGGTGAGTTGCTGGGTCTTGTATTTGTTACCCACCAACCTCCTAAGTGGGGGTGTGGGGTGTGTTTTTCCCTACCCAGCTAATAACAGGTGTTTAAACTTTCTTCCTTATCTGATCCACTGCATCTTTTATGGGCGTTTCCTTTCCTGGCCCTGAAATGCTGCTTCCATGATGTTAATGCTTTGTTAATGCTTATTCCCATCTGCTAGGGAGGTGCGTCAGAACCTGAACCTGGAGCCATGGCAAGGAAAGTGCCAAAACGGGGATATTAAGGAAGGTATGTAAAAGTTTTGAGCTGTAGGCCATGTATCCAGGGGGTGTTTGGGGCAGGGTTACTGATTCTCAGGTCTTTCTATGGGTTGTGCAAGATGTTCCAATTCATTGCTGGGGAGCTGGGAACGACTGTGCTGAAACCAAGACACCAAGCAAGTCTCAGCTTGGACTTAATTGCTAGATAATGTGTTTCTTAGCTGGGTGAGAGGGTTTAAACTCTGTGTTTGCTGATGTCCTGGGAGAAGAGTCCCATGGACTTCACCAGGTGTGGGTCAGGCCCTGCCATTGTTGTTAAATGGCTGTGTAACATGTCCCCATCAACCCAACTGTTCTTCCTTCTAGACTTGTGGGGGAATCTGTGGTTGCTGGATGTGCCTATTTCACCCCCCGCTTCTTAATCTCTTCCAGTAGATGACTTTCAGAACATCACAGTCGTCCCTTTCTCCCGCTACTACCTCAACTGTCCCATCGAATCCCACTATGCCACCTACAACTGGTACCACAACAACAGCCTCATCAAGACCTGCAACACCACCCACCCCCAGCAGGACTGCTTCCACTTCATCCAGAATGTGAGCCACATTCACTACGGCCGCTACGTCTGCATCTCGGAGGAGGATGGCTTCAGGCAGGCTCTGGTGAAGGAGCACTTGGTCAACCAGCTCAGGTTCATGTCCCAGAAGGGCCAGGCCACCATGACGTTTGGCTCTTGGCTGCAGCTGCTGCTCATGGTGGTGTTGGTGGAGCTCTTCCACTGAACATGACAGAGCTGTGTTCCCACCATCCTGGCTGCTGCCGCCGTTCTTCCTGCACTTGCTGTCTGCTCCTGAGGCGAGATTCCTATTCTCTTAGTCACTCCTTGGACATTAATATTTGACTGTCCCAAGAGGGGTCCTGGGCAGCAACCCCTCCATCTTTGGCCTTGGTGGAGGAGTCATGGTGAGGAATATGCGACTGCAGGGCCAGATGGAGCAGGGTTTGGGGACAGGGAGGGAAGGGGTGGGGGACGTTCGCTGTACCCAGCAGCGTGAAGGGAGCGGTGTCAGCCTCTCCGCGAGCCCGCGCTGTTATGTTGACCTGAGCCTACCCTGGGTGCGGACGTTCAGGGGACTTCTGCCGACGTGCATGCACTGATCCTCAGGGCACAATGACTCCTCTCTTTGGGAACGTGCATGTGATGAAGAGGAGGAGCCAGCCCTTGGCCTTTCGAACTGGTTGATCTGTGCTTCGCTCCGAGCGGGGACTTGATGCCTCCGAGTTTCTAGGGGCTAATGTCTGTTTGGGTTGGCAAGCAGCTGGAACGCTCCCAGTGTCACATCTGAGTTGCCTCCTGGTCTGGAGAATTGGGCTCTGGAAGGGTTTTAGGGTTTGGTTTCTTTTTTTGTTTTGCAGCTGGCTTTGACATGAGAGGGAGATCGGGAACTAGCACTGGAAACCTGCAAAGCAAAGACAGGCACAAAGTTAGCATTTTGCATGGAAAAGCCTTGGAAGGTGACTAGATTTGGGGTGTGGGGAAGGACAGCCTGAAGGGGACAGGAAGGGAAGATGGAAGCAGAGCCCAAACCAAACCCGGGAGGCCCTGGGAAGAAGTTTTAAACGCACAAATCCTCTGCAGGCAGCTAAGGGCATTTATCTGTGGGCAGCAGGCAGCCGCCTGCTCCCAGCACCTCTCCTCCAGGAGAGGGACCGGGCTTCCTCAGGGAAAGAGGCAGCAGGCTGCTGATCTCAGGGTGATGCCGACGGGCTCAGCGGGGGCTGTGGCTCTCCTCACCGCCCGGAGCAGATCTGCCCCTCTCCCTCACAGTGAGGGGACAGAGGAGGACCGGGGTTTGCTTCCCTTGGGCTTTGAGGTCTCTGAGCAAGACTAAACTGTGAAAAACGGGATGCTGTCCCTGCACCTGTGGGCAAGGGGCGATCCCACACCTTGTCCAAACCTTTCCCAGCCCTCTCGACAGCTGAAACGCCCCAGCCTCGGGCCGTGTAACCGAGGGGGCATCGTATCTCATGCTTCCAGTAACCTGTCGCAGCAGCACAGCTCCTGCTTTGTGCCTGCTCAGAGACACTCAGGAGTGCCCGAGGGGTCTTTTTGGCAAGGGGGCTTCTCATGACCGCAGACTACGGACAACGGGCCAGAGCTTCCTACTGCACTACATTTCCAAGATACCCCCCTCCCCCGAATCTAGGATAGAGCTTCTTACATCCCTTCTCAAAGCACTTTAACTTTGTGAACTAACAAATACCTATTTATTATCAACTGATGATTACTGTACTTGTATAATTTTATAATATTGTAGAAAGCGAGTTCAAATTAGAGAAGAGGAAGAGCAAACACCGCAACAGCTACCAAAAAAACCTTTCAGAGCTGTGACCAAAGTGAGAATGTGATCGTTGAAATAAAGAATGGAAAAGAGTAGGCGAGTGCCGTGTTTCTCGCCAGGAGCTGAGGGGTGCTGCTGTGACGGTGGCCGGGGTCTCCCCTGTCCATCTTCCCTCATGACCAAGGGGTCCCTGCACCCTCTTCCATGTCTCACCTGCCTCTCCTCTCCAGCAGCAGCCCCAGCCCAATGCCAGGCCACCCCTTGTGCCTGGGGCTTGCTGTTCCCGCTTCAGGCTGGCACCATCGGGAGTGAGAAGCTGGGCAAATTCCCCCTGGAAAAAACAAGGGGGGAGTTAGCAGCACCCGGCTCATCGCCGCCCACCATTTGCGGAAAAAGAGGGATATAAATAGCGGCGGCGGGTCCTCATGGGCACGGAGCCGTCCCAGCACCTTCTGCCTGCGACTCTGCCGGGAGCTGGGGCAGGCATCATGATGCTCCCGCGCATCCTTGGCTTTGACGTCGGGAATGGCTTTTAGGAATGAATGCACGGGCTGCCTGGCTGACAGCCTGTGAAATGGAGTGGCACGGAACTCGTGGCTCTCTTTTTTTGCTGGTTTTGGGGAAAAATGAGCTGATGGTTGGCAGCCGGCAGGGGGGAAAAGGCCGGGCTCAGGATGGAGGGAAGCAGGCAATAGGAGGAATTCAAGCTTTTAAAACGTGCCAACAAAAGCAGGAGATAACAATACCCCCACCTCTCTTTCAAACCCTCCATCAAAGCACTTTGGCACAAAGGCAGAACCGGTTGCCGAGCCTAGCAGACCTGTTGCAGTGCTCAGCCCCCTTTTGCAGGGCTTTCAGAGGGTTGCGGCTTCATCAAAACCCGTGCCCAGCTGCCTTTCCGTGTGCTATTCTTAGTGCTTGCTGCTGGGCCGGTTCCTGCAGGTAGCGTCAGAAAATATTCAGGTATTGGCAGTTGGGTTGGAGCCCTCCCCCAAGCTACAGTTTGCAGTGATGCACCGACGAGCTCCTTTTGCAAAGTTATCGGAGGTGATGGGGTACCAGCCAGGGGGACGGAGATGTCGGTGACGGGCACCTCTGTGCCCTGGGACATGTGCTAGAGGTCTGGGCCCAGGACTTGCAGGAGGGTTTTGCAGGTCCCTGATCTGCAAGGTTTTGGGGGGGGAGGGCGGGGGACGCCGGGCTTGGCAGCTGAAAGCGAAAGCCTCCCTTGCCTTATTTCTTTCTTAGCACTGGGTTTGGCAGAAAACTTCCTGCCGGTGCTGGCAGCATATGCGGCAGCGGCATCTTGGTATAAAGGAGAAATGAGCCCAAAAGGCAGGCGGGTTTCAGCGGAGCTAAAACAAGAAGTGTGATTTCTGGCAGGCCCCCCTCCGTGGTGGGAGGAGGTGGGGAGCTTGCCCCAGACGGGAAGGGAGAGAAACCCAGTACCCAGGCGTTATCCCCCCGGTACTGTACACAGACGCCGAGACGTTTGCATTTCCAGTTCTATTGCTGCCGAGCATTGGATTACCAAAGCTCTAAAACCCCTTGCTAAAACCCCAGACAAGTGTTTCGTGGTGCCCTGGGAAGAGGCGAGCAGGAGGGCTGGGAGCAGTGCCCGAAAGGAATGCTGAAAATCCCCCCGGGAGCAGGTCGGAAGCGGTGGGCTGGGGCTGTGCGGGCTGCAGGACTGCGATAACACCATTTTGGCTGCCCGGGCTCTGTTTTCTTGCCCAAGAAGCAGGCTGAGAGCACGGGGCCGAGTGGCACAGGGACAGCCCTGGGTAACACAGAGACCCTATGGACCTGCAAAGGGGCTGCAGCAGCATCTCCTTCCCCATCCCAGCCTTTGCAAGTGGGTCCCTGTCCCGGCTCCCTGAGGACAGCTGGGTCAAAAGATGGAGCCTTTTGCTAAGTTTCCTGAGAAAAGCAGCAAAGGCGGAACATTTCAGGCTGTGTTTTATTCTGGGCTGCATTTCCCCTGGCCACTGGCTGCTTCCTATAAATACAATAAGCCGAAAGTTGTGGGCAAACACATGTACCAGGGTTTATTGAGGGCTTTGGGGCTGCTGGAGGGAAAAACCATGTGTGGGGAGGGGAAAGCCAAGGCGTCACCGTCGTCATCCCGTCTATGGCCACATTGTTTGAGCAAGTTATTTTAGGAGCCTTGTTTCGATGAGAGCAGGCACGCACAGGAAGGTCAGGTACTGCAGCAATTTCTCCAGGCTTCTTCCAGCACAGGCTGGAGGGGCACGGCCACATGCCTGAAACAAAAGCCTTGAGAGCATTTGATTTTTTCCCAGCGCCGTTTTTGGGGGCTATTTCTGCCTCCAGCCTCCGCAGCGGCCTTGGAGACTGCTCTGGGAGGAGAGTTTGCTAGGCAGGACAATAGACCCAGGAAATCCTGTATCCGTCTCGATGGGATGCAAGAGCTGGTGAGAAATCCCACAGTAGCTGCCTGCTTGCTCCGTGTAAGGCACCCAGGGCGTGCACTGACCGTAAGCGCATCCAAGATGCCGTCTCCAGTCATAGCATCCCTCTGGGCAGCTTTTCCTTGTGGGATGGGGGTACGGAGCAACTCCAGAAGGAGCCATCTGGAGCCTGGAATCGGGATGTCCCGAGGAGCACCCCTGGTTTCAGGAGAGCTGGGATCCCAGGGATGGAGAGGTGCTGCTGCATCACGGCAACATCTTCCATCCTCCCCGTCCCCTGGAGAAGAGCAGCCCAAGCCCTCTCCCGGTGTTTTTCTTATCTTGCATCTTATCTCGGGCTCAGCCAGGCCCAGCACACGCTCCCCTTCCTGGCCACGTCTGAGCTCCAGTTAGAGCTGGAACCGGGCCCAGCAGCACTGCCGTCACCCCTGGGCCAGCAATCCCGTGGGTGTCCTGCCCATCCTGCCCATCCCGCCTGACGCAGCCGGTGTCACCGCCCGCTTCCCCTGAGACAGGCTGGCGAAAGAGAACCATAAACAGAGCTCATGTGTCTGGATCAGGTGCCTGAAACCATGCCACCCACCCGGCTCCTTCCCCCTTCGCTCCTCTTCGTCTGACCCGTTTTTCCTGTCTGTGATGTGGCAGCTTTGTTTGCAAGGGGTGTCTGCTGCCCTGCGGCTGTTTCCCGCTTTTCCCTGAGGATCTCAGGCTTTAACCAGCCTCGGGCAGGTGTCTGTCTGTCCATGCATGGCTCTGGGCAACTTTTGCCAGTTGTCCACGCTGGGGCACGGGGGACATGGTGTGGGTCATGCTACGCCACCGAGGCGGGTTGGGGCTGGCCATGGAGAGTGATGCGAGTGGGAAATCCAGCCGTTTACTAGAAATGAGATAACCCAGGAGATCCTGGAGGAAGTTAAACATGGGATTAACCAGTGTGCCTTCCTCTCACGTGGCTGTGCTCCTCCTCCCCACAGCTGATACGCAAATGCTCTTCCCCCTCCAGCCATGAGTTTCCACCCAAGAGCCCTGAGGGGCAATTGCGGCCAAAGGACGCATCCCATCAGGGTGAGATACCCCATCCCGGCTCGATCGACACCCCAAAACCCAGGCATCACCCTGGCAATTTTGAGGTCTGGGACTGAACACAAAAAATTAGTAAGAGGAGATTCAGTTTAATGGAGCAGGACAATAAAAACAAGCTAGAATCACCCCTGTTTCAGACTAAAGCTTGTCGTGGCTGGGCCCATCCTCCCGATGAGCAGCTCTGGGTGCTCCTGGCAGCTCCTCGAGCATCATGCGCTCAACCCCGAGTGCCTCGGGGATGCTGCCCAACACGTGCTGGGTCATCCCCTTCTCTCTGCTCCCGGGGGAAATCCTCCAGCAAGAACTGCTTGATCATGGCTACAGTCTGTTTGCAGCTGAAAGTTTTCTCTTTTTCAACACGATATTATGAAAATGAGTTTTGCCCCCTCCCCTCCAGCCCTAAACTGAATCACAGGGAGTTTCTGGGCAGGAGTTTTACTACTGAAATTTTCCCAACCACCTGCTCGTGGGCAGGAGCTGAAAGCTTGTAATGAATGGATTCGCTCATGCAGAGAGCAGGGAAGACCCCAGGATGAAATCATTGCGGAAAAGAAAAGAGCCTGTTGGAAAATACATGAAAAGCCCCGTCCTTCCCAAGGGATGGGCGCGAGCAGCGGGCAGCCGAGCAGCATGGGTCCACATATGGATGCAGGCTGTATTTTTAAGGTAAGAAAGCAACGCAATCAACTCCACGCCCTTCTCCCAGCCACTGATTTCACACCTGCTCTGCTCTGCTCTCCATCCCAGCGATGTGATGCAGTCCCTTTATTCTGCCCTCCAAACCAGATCCGCTTTCCAGCATCACTCTGGCTGAAGTCAGCCCCATCCCAGCCGGTTCCCATCAGCTCTGCGGGGCAGAGATGCAGAAAGGATGAGCTGCTCTGCCAAAACACCTTCCCTCTGCTGAATCCCTGCAGTCTTGGCATTCCCAGACCAAGGTGACCGAGGGATGAGGTCGAGGAGGGGGATTTTCCGCAGAGGTTGGGGTTTCGCTGGGGCTGGGGCTGGGGCTGAGGCCCTGGCTCAGCGAGGTTTTCCTGCCACAGAGCAGAAAGCTGGGGGGTTTCTCAGCAGCGTCTCGGAGGTATGATTTACCGGGGGAAGGTGTGAAGGGCCCAGGTGGTTACTCACCCTGCTCACTCGCTCGCTCGGGGAGGTGATACACGCCAGGAAAGCCCCGCAGGGGGAAAGCGAGAGCACAACACCCATGGGTGCCAGCTCTCAGGAGTGGGAAGTCCCACTGGAGGGTCACTCCTTGTCCGCGGCACGGGGTGGCATGGGGAGAAGGCCACCAGGGAGGGGAGAGACTCTCTGTTTTGGCTCATCCAAAAATAGTAGGGGATACGGTCAATTCTCACAGGCTTCGTGGGTGATCTGCTGCCTGCGGAGGTGGGGGAAATGCCTCCTCCCATCCACGTGCTGCCCACTTTGCTCATTACGGATGAGGCCGTCGGCAAAAGCGGTCAGAGCCCCATCCCCGCTGCGATTTCTGCTGGCTGGGGAAAGAGTGACGCTGTGGGTTTCTGAGCACCTCCCCGACACGTTTTCTGCCCCCCACCCCCCATCAGAGCCCCCCCAAACCGCACGGATTCCTGTACCCACCGCAGCAGCTGGTGGCTTCCTCTGCAAGCAGCGTTCTCACAGGCTTTCAGCACGGGGACAAACCGTCATGTTTTCTTCGTGCTGCAGGGGTGGCAACGCCATTGGGGAGGTGCCCCGAAAATCTGGAGACCTCCCAGGGTCGGGGGCAGGAGGCACAGAAGGAGAAGGGCAGGGCCCCACCAGAGGATGTGCGTGGGACCCACTGGTGATGCGGGGGACAGGCACGGGGTGATGGAGCCCATGAGCTGGTTCCCCACGCTTTGGGGAGATGGTGGAAAGAGGGGGTTCAGAGGTGATGGGTGACTGTCCCCTCTTGGGGCTGGGGGCAACGGGGCCACCCAGCGCTGCGTGAGGGCAGAGCTCAGCCGCGTGGCCGTGTCCCTTGGGCCCGCACTTGTGTTTTTACGAGCACCAAGGTGGCCAAAAGGCTCTGATCTGAGCCCGTTCCTGTGGCCGGAGGGGAGACAGCAGGTCCCACCCGGGACAGTGGCAGCGCGAGGGGTCAAGGACAGCGGGGTGGCACCGTGCCACCCGTGTCCCCGGGGTTATGGGGCTGCTCTGGGGCCCACACCGAGCGAGCATCTTCATGCGGGTGGTGGCAGCAGGGACGAGCGGTGGGGTGGCCAGGACGGGAGGGGACAGACCCTGTCCCTTGGGACGTGACGGGCACCGTGGTTCCGGACGGGACAGAGCCTGGGAGGGAGGAAGGGGACAAGAGCCGGTGCCTGGCAGGGGACAGGCGACACGTCCCGGGGATGGAGGGGACGGACCGGTGGGTGTCCCCGGCACCGGTGGCGGCAGGCGGGGCAGGCGCGCCCCCCGGTGCCCGCCGCCGTTCTCGCAGCCCCGGCTCGGCATCCTCCGCGCTGCCTCCTTCTTCTTCCCAGTTCCCCGGGGATAAATGATAACCGGAGCAAGGTTTTAAAACGGGAAGAAGCCCAGCAGAAGCCGTCCGTCAGCTCCTCCTCCTCCAGGCCTTCAAGGCTGTGGGATGGGGACCCCCCAGGGAACCCCAGGGACTTACCTGGAGTCCTGCCCCCCCCCATCCTCAAGGGTCACCCCAGAGACCCCGCCAGACCAACTCCAGGGACACCCCAAAGGGATGCCTCAGAAAGGCCCAGGGATCTCCCAGTGACCCCCTCCCCATTACCTCTCCCACCACCCATCGCCAACTGGTTGCCAGCGGGTGTTACTGGGCCTGGGGACAAGGGGCCTTGTCTGCCACCAAGCTCAGGGGCTGGAGCCTTTGTCCCTGCCTCGACGGGGGCCATGACACCCCAAAAAGCCTCTCTTTGCTGGTGGGGGGGTGTGTTCGGGGTTCCTGCACTAAATGGCAGCTGATGCTCTGGGGCAGGAGAGCCTGGGAAGGGGGGGATCTGCAACCCCCAGCACCCCCTGCCCTGGGGAGGATGGAGGTGAGACACCCCCAGTGATGGCCAGGCTGTCCCTGAGGCTGTCCCCTCCTGCAGTGACCCATCAGGCCTGAGCTTTTTTAAGTCTAACCCACGCTATTTTGTCCCCCAAGATCGTTTTTATCATTTATTCTGCAGATGAAACGTTCCTCCCCTTGGCAGCTGGGGTTTTAATTTTTCATTTTTCATTTTCAGCACTTGCAACAGCACCCACTTTTATTGGGGTGGCACGGGCCACCTGCCAGCATCACCCCGTGCCGCTCAAGATCCGTGCATCACCCGGCAAACCCCTTATGGCAAGGCTGGGAGGGGATGATGCTCTGCAAAACCCTTTTGGCTGCCCCGTGCCCCAGTGCCTGCCTTCTTGCCGGGGCGAAACGTCCCCGTCCCTGGGGCAGCCGTGACTCATCGGGAGGCGGGCGAGAGCATCTCACCTTGAGCGAGGCCGGCTGGGGGATAAGAGCGAGGCCACCCTCGCCTCCTTCTCCCACCACCCGCTTCCATGCTCACCCGGGTTGCACCCAAGCCAGGCGTCTTGCGGGGATGTCTCCCTGCCCGAGCCGGGGGATGCCGCTGGGATGGGGGGGCTCCCACCCCCATCCCACCAACTCCTCGACCCTTCAACCAGCTGCCTGGTGACTGGCGAGCCGGCTGGCTCAACCTCTACCGCTTCTGGCAGGAGGGCGGCTTGCACAACGTCCATCACATCATGGCTCGCAAGTTCCAGCAGTTCGGACCCATCTACAGGTGAGGCAACATCTGGCCCTAGCATCCCCCCCGCCCTGCTCCCCAGCTCCGGCAGCTTTTCCAGTCTGGGATGCTGCTGCTATTCCCAGCCCTGCTCTGGGTGGTAAATAGGTGGCTGAGCTGCCGGAGCAGCCTAGCTTGCCCTGTGCTGGCCAGGCTTGATGCTACGGTGAGGGGCGAGAGGGGAGACCCACTCGTGCCTTGAGGATGCGGGATGTCGGGAGGAGGGGGCGGCAGGGCTGGAGAGGGACTCTGCCCCCCCCCCCAAATCTCTGCAGGGTCTGGAGCTGACATCCCCAGGCAGAGGGGGATGAAGGTGGGGGGGCCAGGGGGTTGTCGAGGTCCAGCACCCCCAGTTGTGCCTGCCTGAGCCCTGGGGCCCTGACCCTGCCTGGTGCTGAGCTGCTGCACCCCCTGGGATGGGACCTGCAGGCAGGGTTTTGGTGGATGCGAGGGGGACGGTGGTTGATTTGGGGGTGCTAGGGGGAAGGTGGTTGATCTGGGGAGATGAGGGGCTGCAGGGGGATGCAGGTAGGGGTCAGGGTGCGGGGCCAACACCCCTCCTCACCCTGGCAGGGAGAAGTTGGGTGTCTACGAGAGTGTGAACATCATCAGCCCCCGGGACGCTGCCACCCTCTTCCAAGCGGAGGGGACTCTGCCGGAGCGCTTCAGCGTGCCCCCCTGGGTGGCTTACCGTGACTACCGCAACAAGCCCTATGGCGTGCTCCTCAAGTGAGTTGGAGGGGTGGAGTGCCCTCAAACGGGGCTCCCAGGTCCTATCGCGATAGCCCCAGCACACGGGAGGGTGGGAAGCTGGAGCATCAGGAGGGTGATGGGGACCTGTGCTTTGGAGGGTGGCATCCTCCGGGGGTGGGGGGCTTGGTGGGGTGGGATGCCTCTGACCCCCCACGTTGGTGTCCCACAGGACTGGGGAGGCCTGGCGCTCGGACCGCCTGATGCTGAACAAGGAGGTGCTGTTGCCGCAGGTGGTGGAGGGTTTCGTGCCTCTGCTGAGCGAGGTGGGCGAGGACTTTGTTCGGCGGGCACGAGCCCAGGTGGGGAAGAGCGGCCGGGAGCACTGGACGGCCGATTTCACCCACGAGCTCTTCCGCTTCGCCCTGGAGTGTGAGTGTCAGGGGCACGAGTCTCTGCAGGACATGTCCCCCCCTGCTGAAACACCCCTTTGCGGGGTGCCCAAGGTGGGCAACACACTGTGTTTCCCCCAAGTTCATCCTCAGAGATGGGCAAACGAGCTTCTCCCCCAAGGCTGTAGCATCTAGGGGGATGTCCTCTCCCCAGACAAGTAGAGAACAACTCAACACTGTTGATAAAACACTGTTTTATCATCTACCAGTCATCACCTGCTAGCCAACCTTACCCAACAAGGGATGCCTTCATGGCCCCGTGATGCTCGGAGTGAACAGGAGGCCAAACCAGGTCCCTGTAGCCATGGAAAGGCTGGAGTTGGCCCTGGAAGGGTGGAGGGGATGGGGGTGGGGTCTCCCCCGGCCAGATCCCCTCACGAGTGCCGTGCTTGCAGCCATATGCCACGTGCTGTACGGGGAGCGGCTGGGGCTGCTGCAGGACTTTGTGGACCCCGAGGCACAGCGCTTCATTGATGCCGTGAGTCTGATGTTCCACACCACGTCGCCCATGCTCTACCTGCCACCCGCCCTCCTCCGCCACCTCAATGTCAAGACGTGGCGGGACCACGTCCAGGCCTGGGATGCCATCTTCTCCCAGGGTGAGTGCTCCTCCTGCCCACACCTCCCTGTGCCCTTTTGAGGACTTGGCTCCATAGTGCAGCCTCATCTCACCAGCGTGGAGACCTTCTCCCGGGTCCAACCACCCAGCACGGGGCCACCAAGGCCAGGAAGGCTTTCCACATCTGGAGCTGGTAGAATGGAGCAGTGGGGAACCATCCAGGAATGGTGAAGGGCAGATGATGGGCATCACGTTGAGGGGAACAGCTCTCCCAGAGGGGCTTGTGACCTCAGAGAGCTTTTGGCACTTGGGACAACCCTCCTGCAGGGTGTCCCCCCCGCTTGGGGCACCCTCACCCCCCACCCTCCGTGCCTACCCTGCCACTGCTGGGTCCTGCAGTCGGGACCGCAGACCCAACCCACCGCAGGGGCAGCTCCCATGGAGAAGCCACCAGTGTGGGGCAACGACGTCCTAAGGTGCCACATCTGGTGCCTTCCTCCTCCACCACGGCCCCGGGGGAGGAAGACCATGCCGTGTCTCCTCGTCTCCTCAGCGGACAAATGCATACAAAATGTCTACCGGGACCTGCGACTGCAACGCAAGAGTGCCAAGGAGTACATGGGCATCCTCTGCAGCCTCATCATGCAGGACAAGCTGCCCTTGGATGATATCAAGGCCAGCATCACCGAGATGATGGCTGGCGGGGTGGACACGGTAAAGTGTGGGCAGGGTTGTTGGGCAGGGAGAAGGTCCCGGTTGGTGTTTAACCTTGCTTCCTTGCCCCGCTCCAGACCTCCATGACGCTGCAGTGGGCCATGTTCGAGCTGGCACGGTCCCCGGGGGTCCAGGAGCAGCTACGGGCAGAGGTCCTGGCTGCCAAGCGGGAAGCAGCAGGGGACAGGGTGAAGATGCTGAAAACCATCCGGCTGCTCAAAGCCACCATCAAGGAGACACTCAGGTGAGGAGGAGCTCCCGCTGAAAAACACCCCCAGCCCCTTCCCTCCCCGAACCACTGGCACTGCTGGGATGTCGTGCATCCAAGCGGGAACATGGGCGGGCCAGGCTGTCCCCAAAATCAGGTGTGTGGGACCTGTCCCCCCCCTCCAGGCTGCACCCCGTGGCAGTGACCCTGCAGAGGTACACCACGCAAGAAATCATCCTCCAGGACTACCGCATCCCGCCCAAGGTGAGAGCTGCCACCAGGTCCCTCCTCGTCCCGACCCGCTTCACGCGGGTCTCTGGGCAAAGGTGGGACCTGGAGCATGGCTGGGTGACGTGGTGGGGAGCAGCCGTGGGGATCATCTGGGGCCAGATCCCATCCCTGCACCCCCTCCCTCTACCCCGAGCACCAGTGAAGCCACGTGGGGAGCCTGGACCCACGGGGCTGATCCTTCCCTGCAGACGCTGGTGCAGGTTGGTCTCTATGCCATGGGCCGGGATCCTGAGGTCTTCCCCAAGCCGGAGCAGTTCAGCCCCCAGCGTTGGCTGGCAGCTGGCCCCAAGCATTTCAAGGGGCTGGGTTTTGGTTTTGGACCCCGCCAGTGCCTGGGGCGCCGGATTGCCGAGCTGGAGATGCAGCTCTTCCTCATGCAGGTGAGCATCCTGCTGCTGGGGACGCTGGGGACTTGGCACTGGAAGGGACCGGGGAGGTGGCACGTGGGTTTTGGTACCTCCGGCATTTTCCAGCCGCTCTTTTCTCTTCCACCCCAGATCCTGGAGAACTTCAAGATCGAAACCATGAGAGCGGTGGAAGTTGGGACCAAGTTCGATCTCATCCTGATCCCGGACAAACCCATCTACTTGACCTTACGGCCGCTCGAGTCCCACGCGTGAGGAGCCCAATCCTGGGTGACACCCAGCTTAGTCCCAGTTTGGGAGCCATCCCCGACAGCCCGGCAGCGCTTTCAGCTCCTTACAGCCAGTCTCCAGCCCAGGGATGTGATTCGGGGGACGGCTGGGACGCTTTCACGGCCACAGCCTTGGCTTGGCGCATCCCTGCCTTCGCTCCAGCTTGCTCAAGGCTGCGCTTACGCCACAGTGGAGATAAACCGGAGCAAACCCCCAGCTCCAGTTGCTCGGGGGGGGGTGTCCCCAGGGACCACACTGGGGACCGTGGCTGTGCTCCTCCGACACCCTCTAATGTTTTGCTTTGCCTCTGATTTACTCTGTAATTTCATCTTGCGAAAAAGCACCAGCTCCTTTTTGCCAGCGTTTTAGGTTTCTCCATCTCTCTCACCAGGTGCAGGCTAGGGCAGGCGGGCCAGGGGCTGGGGTCTTCTCAGGGGGGCTGTGGAGATTGCCGGCAAATGCTGGTGGGGAATGGGAAAAAGTCTCAGGGGGGCTGTAAATCCATCCCCACTCCCCTTGGGGGCATTGGCTATGGGGGAGAGGGCTGTGATAAGGGGGTTGGTGGGGGGGGTAGTGTGTGTGACCCTGGGGGACATCCTAGGATGCGGGGGGGGGGGGGGTCCTGCAAACCTGGGGACCACCCTCCTGCCTTGCCCAGGGTCCTGCAGGGAAACTGAGGCAAATCCCCCCTGATGTGGGGGTGGGCATGGACACCCCCAGCCACCCTGCTCCCCCAGCTGCCTGGGTGCAGAGGGGTGGCTCTGAGCCCCCCTCCTTCCCCCTGGCAGCAAACACCGGCTGCCAACTTCCATGTTGGGTGGCCCTGGTCGTGTCCCCCCCCGCAAGGTGCTCACCGTGGTGGGGGCGTAGGGGAAGCCGTGCTCCCGCTCCAGCAGCCGAGTGCCGAGCTCCTGCTTCTCCCGTCCCCACTTCCTCGCCGCCTCCTCCAGCTGGGACGGACCCAAACCAAGCTGGCTCTTTCCAAAGCAGGGGGCCAGAGGTGCCCCCCAGCCCAGCCCGACACCCCAAGGCCCCCCCATAATCAAACAGGGTGCAGGAGGTCGATGCCCACCTGCCTTTCCAGCACCCGCCTCTGGGCTTGTGCCTCCTCCAGCCTGGCCAGCAGAGACAGCTTCTCCGCACGCCCAAAACCACCCTGTGGGCCACAAGATGAGCAGGAGTGGGGAAAGGCAATGCCAGATTACCCCCCCACACCCCTTCCCACCCCCTGCTCATGGGGGGAGCAAGACACAGGGGTGGCTATTGCCCCACAGAGCCGGAGATGCTGCCTTAGGTGATGTCCCTGGTGTGCCCGGTTCCTCCCCGGCGTTGCTTTTTGGGGTGCCACGGCTCTGTCCCCACCCATACCAGCCCTGTGTCCCCCTCCCCGGTCTCACCGGCAAGGTTGGGGGCTGCGGGATGACGGGGGGCAAGAGGTGGGGGGGTCTCGCCAGGTCCTCCCGCAGCCTGCGGTTCTCGGCCAGCAGCACGGCATACACCTCCCCGGAGAGGGCTTCACCTGTGGGATGGGGTGAAGGGGGGGCACTGGGATGCGTGCTACACCCCCCCTTTGTGCAGAAATGGGGGCCAGGACCATGTTGCTACCTCCCCCATGCCCAGGGATGGGTAAGAGGGGGCTCAGGACCTCCTCTGATCGCCCACCACAGGCCACCCCGTGGTGCAAACCATCAGAAGGAGATGGCCACCAGCAGAAGCCAGCAGCTGTATAGCGGTGTCCCCCCCCCTCGAGGGTCCCTGTCCCTGCTTGCACCCACCCGCTGACTTCTCAGTACTCCTGCCTGCCCTGGTGAGTTTCTCCTGCAGCACCCTCTCCATCGCCTCGATCACCTGCCGGAGAGAGCAGAGCTGTCCCCATGTCACCAGCTCGATGCGAGGCTGTGGTGACTGTCACATCTCCCCAGCCACCGTGGTCCTGGCACTGGGTGGTGCTCGTGGAAGGGTGGAACAGACCAGAGGGTCCCATCTTCTCCAAAGAGCCTCGTGCCCCCCAACCTGCCCTTCTTACCCCAACCTCATGCCCCCCCAACCTCCCAACTCACCTTCTCCTGCTGCCGCACTGTCTCCTCTAAGTTCTTTGTCTTGGCCACCTTCTCCTGGCACCTCTTCAGCACAGCTTGCTGCTGCTGGTGGGCTCGCTGGAGCAGCACCAGGTCCTTCTCCTGGTCATTTTTCTGGGGGGGAGGAAGGGGGAAAAACCCTCCAGGGACCTCCATGCCGAGCCTCAAGCCCTGGGTCATCACTTGTAGGGCTGGGAGAGCCTCATGGTGGGCGTCCTGGGGCTCTTGGGCACTTGTTTGGCTATGGGGGTGTTGTGATGCTCTCCCTGCTGCCGCCCTGCTCCTCTGCTCCCATCCCATCCCATCCCTCAGGCAGCCCCTGCCCGCTCCTGCCATATCCATACCCGGATCAGCTCGTTCTGCAGCCGTTGGACACGGTCCTTCAGCCTCCTCATCTCCACTGTACCGGCCACCAGCTTGTGCTTGAGGGTGGCTGCAACAGCCCCATGCCACTTTCTCATCACCCAACCAGGGGATGGTGCCAAGGAGAGGGGTCCCCCAATTTCTACCTCCCCCTTCCCCATCACGCACCGAGCCTGTCCAGCAGCTCCTCCCGCGTCATGACGTCCAGGTCCACATCGGCAAGCAGAGTGTGGCCCAGCTCCTCCCGCGAGGCCAGGCTGCGCCGTAGGTGCCTGTTCTCCACCTCTAGGCTGGTGACGTGCTGGCGCAGGGACAGAAGGTCCCCGGCCATCCGCTTCAGCGCCAGACGGTAGCTGCTCGCCTCCTGCCAGCCCAGAGCAGAGCTGCTGGCACCCCGCTGCCAGCCACGGCTTTCCCCAGCACCAAGAGCTCAGCTGAGGATATTTGTCTTGAGGGTCAGAGCCACCATGGAGTAGCTAAGAAACATCCAGTTTTTCCCCTCCTCTTGCAACCATACATCCTTCTCTTTCCCATCCATCCATCCTTCTCTCCATCCACCCTTCTCCAACCACGCATCCTTCTCTTCTCTAGCCATCCATCCTTCTAGTCTCCAACCATCCATCCATTCATCCATCCATCCATCTATCCATCCATCCATCCATCCTTCTCTTCTCCACCCATCCATCCTTCTTTCCTGTCCCTCCAAACCTTCTCCTCTCCACCCACCCACCTCTCCCTCCACCCAACAGAGACCCTTCCCCATTTCCCCATCTTTTTCCACCCCTCCCTTGGGGGAAAAACAACTCTGCCAAGGACATGGGGTGGAGCAGCGTTGGAGCTGGGCGTTAATCTCAAGCTCTGAGCCTTATGGGGCTTTGCAAGTCTTTAAAAGAAGGGAGGTGGTGAAGAATAACACAAGGATGAATGTTTTATATAGATAAGCCTGGGGTTTTTTTTAGCACCTGTGGGGTTGGGGAACGCCTTGTCAGGTGATGCTGGGGGGAAGAAATTCCCCAAGGGTTTGCATCTTCTCAGGCTGACCCTCCTGAATCCCTCCCTGCCACGCTGGGCTGTGGAAAGGATCCCAGCAGCGGGGACCTTGGCCAGAGGGAGCCGCGTGCCTCCAGCTCCCCTGGCCCCCCACTCCCAGCCTTGGGGATGGCCTTGGCCAGCGGCCCACGGGGGGGGCCGGGGTGCGGGGAGGGGGTGCAACAGCATCACTTGGCCTTGGGGGGGGGGATAGGGGGGCAGGTGCAGCGAGAACTTCCTCTCCTTCCTCCCCATCTGCCTGAGAGCTGTTTCATCCAGGAGTCAGTTTACCCCCAAGATAAAGCCTGCTCCAGCCGAACTCAAGGGCTGCCCCCCCCCCCGCCAGACCTTCACTCACCGGCAGCGTAGAGCTTCGGTCTCCACGGGAGCCAGGACCCGCTCTGGGGACACCGCTGTCCCCCCCAGTGCCCCCAGCTCCTCCAGTCTCCTCGGCACTCACCAGCTCCTGCTTGTCCCCAGTGATCTCTTGGGATCTGCAAAGCAGAGACCGGGAAGGTGGGACACCCTTGGCCAGCTGCTCCCGCCAGAGTGAAACACCAGCAAAGCCTTGGCTGGGGAACCCTCCGTAAGAGACAGGAGCCTGTTTGGGGTGCCGGGGGGCAAGGCAAGTGCTGGTGGGGATGGGGATGCAGGAAGGGTGGGAGCCTGGAGGAGATGAGGAGGAAGATCGGCAGTGATGGGGCAGGAGGAGAAGCCACTGGGGAAAACATGGGGAGAATGGAGGAAACCACTCCAAAGAGGATGAGAAGAAGGAGCCAAGAGAGGGCAAAACCGGTGTGGCACCCCCCTACCTCTGCTCTTCTGATGGTGCTCCTGTCCCGTGCGGGAACAGCTGCTTTCCAGGCAGGATGCTGGCCACGGCATCGGCCGCTGGGAGGGACACATTGTCTCGGTGGAGCTGGCAGGAGATGTCAGAGTGGAGGGTAAGGATGAGGAGCAGGCTAGGGAAAGCCCTCTGAGAGGAGCAGCAAGCTCCCTCAGACCCTTTCCCACAGCTGAGAGCCGCTCTTCTGGCTTTCACCTGGAGCAAAACACCTTTGCCATCGTTGCTTTGGGGTCAGGATCCAGCCCTGCCCCAAAAAGCTCTGGCATTGCTGGCTGTGATGCTTCAAGCATCCCCCTTTGGGGCTCGGATGCAACGTGGTGTGGCCACCGGGCTGGAAGACCTTCTCCCAAGGATGGGGACATTTAGAAATGCCTGGCTTTGAGCATCATCTCATTGCTGGACCATTGAGGCGTGCAGCCTTTGGAAGAAATTTGGCTATGACCAAAAGCAAGCCCAACCGGGTGCCATCCTGTAACAGGGACCTCTGGGTGTCCTGTTGGTGACACCAGCAACAGGATGATGTCCCCATCCCCACCCACCGCAACCTGGCACTCACGGTGGAGGACAAGGGTCTGTAGTACAGCATCATTCCCGCTCCTTGGGTGCTCTGATCCCCCTGGCACCCCGCTCCCGGCAGCCAGCCCAGCTCGCTGGTGGGTTGCCAGGCTCTACCCGCCCCAAACAAAGTCCTCAATGGCTCCACCACCCCCGAGCAAATATCCTGTCCCCGCACCGCCACCCGAGCTGCTGGCCGGTGGACTTACGGCGATGTTGGGAGGTTGTAGCATGAGGAAAAGCTGTTTTTCCCTGGCCCTTTCTGCTGGCAAAGGGATTTAGGTAGCGCGGAGGCTCCCGGCAGCCTGGCGTGCCGGTGGCCGTTGCTACAACACAACCCTTCTCTTAGCAACTCCTCCCTGCAGCAGCTCAGCACCTAAAATCACCCGCCTGCACCCAGACGGGTGCATTCCAGCTGCAGGCAGCTGGCTCTGCCCACTCCTTGCCCCAGGCACCCGCATCTCTTCCCCTTTAGCATCCCTTCCACCCCTGCACGTCCCATTGCCGCTTCCAAAGCCATCGGGGCAGCAAGCGCTGCCTGCAAGTGCTCCCTTTGAGACACCAGCCCCTTGCTGCCCCCAGCCCTTCCTCCCCATCCTCATCCCTATCCCCATTGCCGTTTCGGCTGCTGTTGCCTTATCTCCTGCTCCCAGCAGTGCAGCCCCGAGGAGGTGACTCCGTGGCGGCCACTGCCAGGTCCCAGCATGCCCAGCTGGCTCTGGAGGTGACAGCACCTCATTTCCCTGCCTCGGATGCGGGCATGGAAATGCTCTCCCCTCTCAGCACGCTCCTCTGATGCTTCAAACGCTCAATTAACTTCTGAGGACCCACGCCTTGGAGATGCCAGGCGGCATTGGCCTTCAGCTCTGCTTTGGGGTTTGGCCCGATCCCAAGCAGAGAATAATTTGCTGAATAATTCACTGATCAAACCCCACTTTCATCCCGAGATTGAATTTATAGCATTTTAAGGGAAGGGATGCTCTGCCCCAACAGGTCCCCCAGTCCCAACCCCCCCTTTCAGGGTACCCACAGGGGCTCTCGTGCCTCCCACCCGCTGCGGCATCCCGCATCCACCTCTCCTTCAGTGTTTGTTAAGAAACAAAGAGGCCGGTGTAAGTCGATGGAGTCCCTCACTACCTTGTCCTGTGCCATCAATTTTTAATCAAAGAGCCGGTGGGAAGCGTGCAATTATCTGCTCCATCAATAATGCACTGGACTGCACTTGGCTCGCCTGGGCTGGGTAGCTGCTTTCCCTGCCTGTGCTGGAAGGTGCTGGGTTCAACCACGGCTGTTCTAGGTTCAGACAACACCTGCAGAGGCTGGAAAAGCATCCCCAGCCTTTAGTCCCAGCCCAATGCTGCTTGGACACCCACCATCCCATACTTCTGCCTGTGCAACCATTCCTGGCAGGCAGCATCACCCCAGTGCTGCCTCCGGGGACGGGGCAGAGTTAAGGGTATTTGAACATATTTTCCCCTATACCACCTATCTCAAATCCACCTGGAGATAGTGTGTCTCTCCTTCCTGCAGGGGTCTGGGATGAAAGGCTGGGAATCCACATCTGAAATGATGGAAGCTTTGAAACTCCTGGCACTCGCTATTTTTTTTTTTTTTTTTCCCCCATCATTTCCAAGCTTCTGAAGCTTCCTCTGCATTTAGAGCCTTTCACCCGCCCCGATGAGCCCCCCCCCCCCCCTTCCTGTATTTGCTTAGGCCAAGTTTTTTTTTTATTTACTTAACAAATTGCTCCGAGATGCTTTGATGTATCGATTAGCTTTGACTGCTGGAATCAATTCATCTCTAGACGGAGCAGCACGGAGCAAAGAGAGGCAGGGGGGCTAGAAATAAACCTCCACGGGAGGCAGGAAGGTCCAAAAGTGGCTGAAAACAGGGTGTACCAGAGGATTCTGCATCCGCATAGCATGGCCTGATCCTGTCCCTGGCCAGGGAGGGGACAGCAATGCACCCCAGAGAGAGGCTGAGGATGGGCCAACTCATTTCACTTGTGAGCATGGAGGCATTTGAGCCCCTGGCAGTGCACCAGCCTCTTCTCCAACACAATCTCCCTCCAGCTCAATGAATAACATGTCTCTGGATGAGTATTAAGCCCAATTCCTTAATTGTAATGAAGATGGGATAAGCTCAGATTTACATATCTGAGAAAAATATTGCCGCAGCAGCTTAAGAAGATCAGAGGGAAGAAAAATCCCATTTTTCCCTCTTTTCTGTAACAAAAGCTCACGAAACCATCAGGAGATAGTGATGCCTCTGTTTGCTTTGCCTGATGCCCTCATCGACCTTACCCATCCCCTTGGGACACGGGTACCTGATGGGGCGGAGGGAGGGGGATTGTCAAATACCCAAACCCATCCTCAGGACAACATCTGGGCAGACGTGTTGGTGGGGCAAATGTTTTTTGTTTTTTTTTTTTCCCCTCTACTTCCAAATTCAAAGTGTTTCCCTGGGGAACCCCAACCCCTGGGGGAATTGCAGGTCCCCCAAGGGAAATATGGAGATTTTTAGCCTGGCCACTCCCCACACACCTTCGTAGGATGTAGCAGCCGGTGAAAGGCAGCAAATAAGCGGGTTTTTATCTGATTAAACCAAGGCTGAACTCCCTTCCCATACATCGGGGCTAGGGTGGGAGCTGTGCTGGGGGGGGGTATATTAGCCAAAGCATTACAATTCAATTTAAGAGTTAATTGGATTGCATTGAAAAGCGCTTAATCTGAGCCGAGTTCGATTTAATAGAGACACCACATCTACTGCTCCCTTCCTAACGAGGATGATGATTTTAGGGCGGGCGATTACCATCGCTATCCAGCTCCAGGCCCAGCTGCCGGCTGCTGATATCATGTTGTACAAGGAAATAAAAGCCTCTGGATTACACTGGGTAACTCGGGGAGGCAAGACGCTCCGTGTAGAGACGACTGCTCCTTGGGCTCCCACCCGCCTGCCTGCTTCTTCAAGATAAGGCTTAAGAAAGCAGTCGTGCCACCAGCAGGGACTGTGATTCCTCTGCGAGTCGCTGCTGGTTTATTTTGCTCAAAGAAAAAAGAAAAAAAAAGAAAAAAAAGAAAAGAAAATCAGTGGCTAGGAGGAGGTAGGATGACTTTTGAGAGCAAACTCTGGCTGAGTCAGCTCCTGGTTCCTGAAAAACAATTTTTCTCCCATCCTGCTGCACGGGGCTGCTTTTGGGAGGGATGGGGACAGCTGGGGTGATGTCCCCAGGTGATGTCCTGCTGCTCATGGTGACCAGGGGGAAGGGGAGGTCAGCAGAGCCTCCCAGGATGGGTTTCTAGTCCCAGCATGGGTCAGAGCATCCCCCAGTGCTGCTGCTCACCCTGACCACAAACTGGGGCCAGACCTAAAAAAGTCCCCTCCTGAGACCAAAAAGTGAGCGAAACAGGTTACGACTGATACCCTGGGTTCCCACTGGGTCTTTGCAGTTTTTTTTTCCTTCTAGGAAAACATCTGCATCTGTGTTTTAAGATAAACATACTTCAAGCAGCTGGGGATGTGAAAAAGTGGAGAAATATCACAACCCCCCCCAGTACCAGTGGGAGACTTGGCAGCTTACTGAAGAGTCTGTTTTCCAAGCATACCTTTTAAAATCTGCGCATGGGACCTGAGTTAAATACCCTCCCCTAGCCCCACACTTTTTAAGTGCCCTCAAAGCATTTTCCTCCCTTAGCTTTGAAAAATAAGTGGCTGCAGAGGGATAAACCCCAAGCAACCCCATCACCCCTGGTGACAAGCGCTGCCTTGATTTGTCCTTGGCCTGGCAGGCGGTTTATTGCTGGCGCCGTGGCCATCCATTTTCATGTTTGCTTATGTATGGAGTCTGTTTGCTGATAAAAACGCCCCTTGCATTTCAGCAGCTGGCATAAATCCATCAGTACCCCAAGCCACAGCGCTGAGAGCACCCAGAGCCATGCAGCACCCGCTGCCCTGACCACCCACCACCCTGAGCATCTGCCCCCGGCCATCGGGCCCCACCCTTTATTAATTAGCACTGGGAAAGGATGAGAAGTCGCTAAACGAGAATAAATGAGCCCTTCTATGCTACGTTCACTGAGGGTTGAGTAGTGCCTCCAGGACCGGTTTGGAACAGGACACACCACAGGGCATGCACATGCCAACGCATGCACCCCCAAACACACAGAAAATGGTATTTTGGAGGCAGTTTTCTCTTTTTCCCCTGCTCTGGCTCACTGCTGGCATCCCTGGTTTGTACCCCCCGCAGCCACAGCCACAGCCACCCAGACCCAAGCAGGAGAAGCACATGCAAAGCCCACCAAGCCTGACAAGTTTCCCTCCCATGCTCGGAGCCTGGAGCACCAAAAACCCCCTCGTGCAACGTAGCTGTGGCATGCAGACCATTTGCAAACCCCCCAACCCATTCCCAGTCTCCCCCGGCCCTCCACCGTTGGGTCCCTGCCCCTCCAGCACCCTCCACTGCCCTGCAAAAGCCATCCCTCTGTCCCCCTCCTCGCCATCCCACCTTGCCCCATCTCGCCCCCAAGAAAACAGCATTTCCAGCTGCTTTTACTCTCCCCCAGGCCAGACGGGCTGGAAGCAGGGACCAGGGCTGGAAGCAGGGACCAGGGCTGTTGCAACCAGATTTGGGGTGGCTGGGAGGCTTTTGCCATACTCTAAATTCCATCAAGAGCCTCTCCCCTGCCTTGTGACTGCTGGATGTGCGTCACCCCATCACACAGGGGAGATACTGGGGCACCCACCCTCAGCACGGCACCTTCGTGCACCAGGTTCGTCATCACCGGGGCAAAAAGCTAATTAAGTAAAAGGGGAAGCAAATTGCCGAACCCTTAATCTACTTGAGAAGTAAAACGGGCATCGATATCATCTGGGGTCGCGTCAGCTGATTTATGGGCCTCTTTTATTAATTGGCTTAATCCTGCATAATGGGAGTGCTGGAAAAAACCCACCCACCCAGCCTGGCAGGCACTGAGCCTCGTGCCTGTGGGTGCTCGGACATCTGTGGGTGTCCAGCTCCCTGGCAAACCTAACCGAGCTCTGCCAGGGCAGAGAGGGGCATCCTCATCCCAACCTTGCAACGGCTCCTGCCTGCAGCCCGGCCTCTCCCGGCCCCGGGGAGAGGAGCAGCTACCCTGGGGAGGTAAGACAACCCCCCCGGGGGAGGGGGACACGGGACGAGCCCGGCCGCGGAGCGTGGGTTGGGGGCTCGGCAGGGCGACGAGGCTGGCGCTAGATGGGGCTGCAGCCGCACACGGGGCTGCCCGGCAGCACCGGGAGAGCAGGGCCGCAGCCTCCTCGGCTCCTGCAGCACCTTCACCCCTTGCAGCACCTTCACGAATTGCAGCACCCTCTCCCCTCGCAGCACCCTCGGCCCCTGCAGCGTCTTCACCCCTTGCAGCATCTTCACCCCTTGCAGCATCTTTACCAACTGCAGCATCTTCACCCCCTGCAGCAGCCTCTCCCCTCGCAGCACCCCTTTCCCTCGCAGCATCTTCATCCTTTGCATCCCCCTCTCCCCTTGCAGCACCCTCTCCCTTTACAGCACCCTTGTCCCTTGCAGCACCTTCTCCCCTTGCAGCACCTTCTCCCCTTGCAGCACCCTCATCCTTCGCATCTCCCTCTCTCCTCACAGCACTTTCTCCCCTCACTGCACCCTCATCCTTCACATCCCCCTCTCTCCTCACAGCACCTTCTCCCCTCACAGCACCTTCTCCCCTCACAGCACCCTCACCCCTTACAACACCCTCTCCCTTTACAGCACCCTTGTCCCCTTGTAGCATCTTCACCCCTTGCAGCACCCTTTCCCTTTGCAGCACCCTCATCCTTCGCATCCCCCTCTCCTCTCACAGCACCCTCTCCCCCTGCAGCACCCTCAGCCCTTGCAGCATCTTCACCCCTTGCAGCTCCCTCTCCCCTTGCGCCCTCCTTTTCCCTTGCAGTATCCTCATCCTTTGCATCCCCTCTTCCCTTGCAGCACCCTTTTCCCTTGCATCATCCTTTGGCCATCATGGCACCTTCAAGCTTTACAGCATCCTCACCCCTTGCAGCACCCTCTTCCCATGCACCATTCTTTTCCCTTGCAGCACCTTCACCCCTTGCAGCACCCTCTCCCCCTGCACCATCCTTTTCCCTCGCAGCACCCTCATCCTTTGCATCCCCCCCTTCCCTTGCCAGTGGGATGCCTTTGCAGGCACCAGCTCCGAGGAGCTGCTGGGCTCAGCAGTGCCGTACCATGTCGGGGGTCCCCTCCCAGCTCGCCGAAGCAGAAGACCCCACTCAGTGGGCACAGGAGGTTCCATCTTCCTCAGATGTCACCCAGCAGCTGGAAATGGGTCCAGCAAAGGGGCCCCAATGCTGCTGGCAAGCAAGAAGTCCTGTCCCCACCACTGCTGCCTGGTCTACCACGTCACGGTGTGGTTTTGGGGGACAGTCCTTACAGCTGGGCTCTCATCTTATGTGATGGAGGTGATAGCACATGTGCAGTGCTGGGAACAAAATGCCAGCAAAGGGGAAAAAAAAAAAAAAAAAGACATTTACTTCTCCTAGCCCTCCAAGAGGCCCTTTGGCTTGTAAAACCCCCAGCATGGACAGGTCAGGCAAATATGGGTGGTGGGAATGGGGAAAGAGAGGCTTGAAGAGGAAGCAAATGTTTGAAGAGGTTGGAGAAAACGCCCCCCTAATCGTTAAGTGCTGCTTGTAAATTATTCATCAACTGGTAAGAGAGGCACAAATCTATTCAGCGAGAGGGCAGAAGAGTAGGAAAACATGGTTAGGCTGAATCCAGCATAAACCTCAGCCTAAGGTCAGAAAGCTCGTCCAGCAGAAATCAGCCTCAAACCTTGGTAAGCCTGAGGGGGGGGTCACAAACCTGCACAGGGGCTTTTCTGGCTCCGTGGGACCAGGGCAGGGAAGGATTACCCCATCTCTGATAACATTCCTCATCGCTTTGTTTGCCTCGCCCCCCTCACTTTTTAATGAAGGCATTAACGAGCAGATCCGGAGCAGGACCTCCAAAGCCACAGGGTAGGGATGGGATCCAGGTTTGATCAGCTGGAGCGGAGCGGGAAGAAGTGACAGGGCTGTGATCAGCTGAGTGCTCCCCCCAAGACCCCACTGCCGGGGGGGCTGTTGTGTCCCTACTCCCTCCCGCACACACGCTCCATTAGTAGGGTGTCAGCCCTGATTCCTGTGGCTGTCAGGAGATGGGCTTTCCAAGCAATGCAATGCAAGCGGAGTGAAAATAATTTGCACTTTAGGGGGAAGAAAAAAGCAAAAGAAAGAAAACGACTGTCAAAGGTTGGGGTGGGGTGGGGGTGGTAAATAATAATCCTACCAGCAACGCTTTCTAGCATTTTTAGCCACAAAAAGAGAAGATGCTCAGGCAGGGCAGGGGTGCCCAGGGCTTGTGCAAACCCTTTCTGGGCTCCCATCACCCAGCTCAGGCTTTAAAATTGGATGCTGGAAGCATCCTTGAGACCACTTCTCACCCTCCCTCACTTTATCGATGCAGGGATGCTCTTGTGAGGATACAGAGCACTGGATTTGAGACCGCTCAGGGCATCGGCGCAAGCAAAGAGCGAAGCTGTGGGTGAAAACACATTGCACAGACTGTGTAGTAATGCCAGGGCTGGATCCTGTGCAGGTCTGAAGGGTGTTGGGACTTCTCTGGAGCCCTGGGGCAATTCAGTCTATCAAATTTGGACTTTGCAGCCTCATCGCATTTACGCCGTGCTGTGGTACCCGCCTCTGCACGCCCCATTACGGGTTTCTATTAGGCTGGGCATAAAGCAGCCGCTGCAGCCACAGAAAGGGAAGTAATAAAGCTCAGTGGATTGGAGGAGTTAAAACAGCTGGAGGAAAAAAAAATAGCTTTTCTGTATTTTTATGGTTGTTATTTTATTGCTAATTTTCTTCCCGCTTTGCAGCCTGAATCGCAGGGAGAGGGATTGGGTTGAAGGTGGGGTTTGGGCAGCCGCTGACGGGGAAATAATTGGGCTTTTGGGCAGTGCAGGGCCCCTCCACTCCTTCCCTCCCAGCTATTTAATAAGCAGAATTGGGGTTTAACGACCTGTTATTTTTAAAGCCAGATGGCTTAAAGTACAGGAAGATATTAGGACCACAAGGGCTGGGTTTGCATTCATCCAAGGGCTCCATTTATCAGTACAAAGGGCTGGAGGAGGAGAACAGCTGCCTTTTTTTTTTTTTTCCTGGAGCCGAAAGGTATGAGCTGGAGGTGCCTGGGGTCTCCAACATAATGCAACGGTAATAGGAGAGAATTTGCTAAATGGATTTGGGATTGAGCAATTAGATCGAAGCTGGTGCATCCAGGCTGCTCTGACGAGCGCTGCCCCCAGCAAGGTGATGGGACACTGTCCCCCATCCAGCCCCTGTGCCACCCCGAAACAGCTGGTGACCGGGGATGCCGGCACCCATGGAAAGGCTCCTCCGTGGGCACAACACAAGAAATTATTCATACAACCAGGCTATGGATAAAACCCACTGCTCCCGGCAATGCACTTCGGAAGAGAGATTAAAATTTGGGATTTATGCCAGTTTTTTACCGTTACGGAGGCAGGGTGCGTGCCTTCGTGGGGGCTGGCAGGGCGATGCAAGCGGGCAGGGTGTTGGCTTGGCATCGCTGGCTGCTCTCAGGGGTTCTTACCTGGCAAGAAAATGGGCACACGGGGGCTGCCCGCAGCTCTTCACCCCTCTTGAATGTGCTGGCGTCGGCGGGGCCCGGGCTGGGAAGGGCATCGCTGCCCGACGGGGTCAGGAACGCCGCTGGTCTCTGGGGAGGGAGAGAGGCAACGGTCTGGAGGATGGATGGATGTGGTGACAGGGGCAAGGAGGGGGGACCCGGACTGGGCTGTCCCCGCCGCGTGTCCCCTGTCCCACCATCCATGTCCCTGATATGCCACCAGGACGGGTGGGATGGGAAAGAGCCGTGGGTTGGCCACACTCGTCTCATCTTTGCAAGGTGCAAGGGGAGCTTTGGGCAGGGAGGGGGATCCCCGGGGTGAAAGGCAGTGGACCGACAAGGTGAGGAGGAGGAGGAGGAGGAGGCAGTCCTTCGCACTGAGACCTGTGTTGGTGGAAATAGCAGGTCCGTGCCCAGCTCAGCCCATCTCTCCCCTTCGCTGGGTGGGCAGGAGGTGGGTACCCAGGTCCTGTGGGCGCAAAGGGATGCTAAAAGCCACTTCGCCGCCTGGTGCTGCCCCTGGCTTTGGTGCCGGCTGGGTAATGCACCTCCGGCACACCGGCAGCCCCTGCCAGATCCCCTGCCAGACGCTGCCGGCAGGAATAATGTGATTTCCCTGTCCCTCATTTCCCGCGCCCGGCTCTGCGTGCACCACTTTCCTCCCACCAGCCTGGCTTTTATAGACTCCCCTCTAATCCGGTTAGAGGGGGAAGTCAGATCTAATGGAATAAACGATGGAGTCCATGCGCTCCTTGCTGCCGCCTGTGATGGCAAGGTCACGGGCAGGGACCATTGCCCTGGCTTGGCCAAGCCAGCTCCCAGTATTGGGGCAGGTTTAGGTGATGGGGACCTGCCCTGCCACTGGGATCCCTGCATCAAGGCATGGCACCCGGCACCCACCTATTTCACCGCCCCAGAGCCGGCAACTGTGACCCAGCAAATCCTCGCCTTCCCCCCCCCCTCCCCACCACTCTCTTCGCTTCGTCAGCTGAGCAATCAGCCTGGGCGGCCTCTCCAAATTGGCTACGGGCATGGGCAGCAGCGAAGTGGCCCTCGCTGGGTATTACTCCATGCCTGCACCCGGCCTCGCCTCGTTAGTGCGGCTAACGAGGGCAGCGAGCATCCTCCCCCTCCCGCCTCTGCAGCGGGGGGCGGACACGAAGAGGTGTCCGTAGGCGTCCCCGTGTCCTTCCCCATCGCTGCCTCATTAACACCATCAGCATCATCGTCCCCTGTGCCGCCGCATTTCATTACGCCGCCGGCCCCGACCTCAACCAAGCTCCTCCAGCATCAAAGCTGGGATGAAGATGCCCCCCACCCCGCCACTCTCCCCCCTCCCTGGGGAATGGCATCATGCAAAATGCAACAGTTTAGGCTCTGCCTGCAATTACCGAGGCCGGCGTACAGCTGCTGCCCGCTGAACCGGTGCGATGGCCAGCCCGGCCCCACCGCTATCGCCCATCGGAGAGCTGCTCGCAGGACCGCACGTGCTCTTAATTCAATTAGCGCTGCCCTGAACGCTCCATGGGGACCGGCGGGTGGAAACCCAACAAATTCTGCTTAACAAAGACATTCCCTGCTTTTTTTCTTTTTTTTTCGGTTTCTCGCTGGCTTGGTTCTCCCTGGCTAACGATGCTCCTGGCCGGCAACGATGCCATAACGCCTCTTGTAATTCGTCATGTAATGAGAGGAATGGGTGATGTGTTTGATTGGCAGGTGTCAATCGAGAGCTGGCAAGCAGGAGCTTGGCTGCCAGCAGTTTGGCTGTGCCGAAAGCCCTCTGAGGGTGTGCCGGCTCACCAAAAGAATACACTCAGCAGGGAAGGGTGATGCTTCCCCAAAACAAGCCTTTCATCAGCTTCTGCATCCCCTGCAACGTGGTTTGGGGATAAAAACCCAATTTCGGTGCTCGTGGAGGACAAACCTGGCCAGACAGGCTGAAATAATGGGAAACACATGGCGATTCCCCACTCCACGACCAATTGTAAACCCATTTTTTTTGCCAGCCCAAAAGGGCTTTGATCGCCAGGCTGGCATGGTGACAATTTACACCCCGGCACTGTGACAATTTACACCAGGCACCGATCTGCTTCTGGTTTTAAATGGCAGCAATTACATAAATTAAGGCTGTTTAAGCAATGATATAGCCAGCCTGTTGATTTTTTTTTTCTTGCCTGGAAAAAAACAGCACTAGCTTTTCCTTTTTTTTTTCAGAGGCTGTCACCACGTGTTGGCATGTCCCCAGACCCCATCTTGGGTGACGTGACCAAGGGTGGTCAGCAAAGTGTGTCGCAGAGGCTTGGGGTGACCCTGAAGGTCCCAAGTGCTGAATTCATGGGCTGAGCGAGGTGAGGTCGTGCCAAAACGAAGTGTAAAACAGGACTGTTTAATAAACAGGGGCAACGAATAAATCCCTTAGGAATAAAGATGCCTCTGGTGTGCATTTTCCAGCCCTTGGATGGGGCGCAGCATCCCCTGGGCGCACCAGGGACCCTGCACATGGATTTGCCACCGGCTACTGCACAGCCAGACTCATCTTTCCTGGGCAAGACACCAAATTTGGTGTAGAAAAAGAAGAATGAAGGCAAAAGATGAGCCCTGCCTTGAGCCACAAGCCAGCGCAGAGGTGGATGAAGTCGGCTGCAGGTTTTCCCCCTGCAACAGTTTTTTCAGCAACAGCCGTTAATTTGCTAAAACGCCAGCGTTTTGCTGAAGTCTTTGATTTCTTTGTCTCCCTGAGATGATCAAAGTCTTTTGTTCTCCTTTGGGCTCCAAAGAGAGAGCGCAGGGGGATACCGGGCTGGGTGGGGGCAAAGCCGGGGGTCGCGGTGCCTTTACTGGGAGCCAGGGCGGGGGGGCTGCAACCGAGTGCTGCCCTTGCCCTGGGATAACACGACTCCTGTTTGCTCATCCCTGGTGTCAGGGCTCTTGGCTTTTAATAAAGCAGCTGCTCCAAACCATTTCCCCATGGCTATTACAAATGTAGCAGGGGTTTGAGACCCTGCAGAAATACTGGGGGATGAGTCCTATTTATGGGGAGCCCTTTATTCCTAGAAAACCGTGGTGCTGAGGACATTTTCCCAGCATGGCGGGTCAATGTGAGCATCCAAAGCCAAGCTCGGCAGCATCCAGACCCCTGGTAGGAGTCGGTGAAATCCCTGCAGAGGCCACGGAGCAGCCGGGATTTACGCCTGGCTCCGAGTGCGCCGGAGAGTACAGATGGCCCAGGGTTTATTTAGCTGTTGTTTGTTATAAAAAGCCCAGCCAATCTAGGTTATGCATTTTCAGCTCTCTACATTCAAATAAAAAAGAATAAGAAAAGAAACGAGGCGAGCTCGGTGAGTCTGTTCTCTTTTGCCATCTGGCTGGGGAGAGCTGGGGGGTGAGGGAGAATGGGGCAGGGATGCTGGGGCTCCTCACACCCCAAGGACAAACCTGGTACAAAGGCTGCCCCAATGCCTTGCCAGGTCCATTCAGGTCCTGTATTGACTGTCTTTGCCTCTTGGTCCCTGTTTGGCCCCTTCTTGCTGTCCCAAAGCTGAGCTCAGGACAATCCACGAGCTGAGGACTTGGAAATCCAGCCTTCAAGCATCCCTTGAAGCCTGGAGCTGCCCGAAGGCGGAGAGGAGAGGTTCTGCCCCTGAAACCACAGCAACATCTCCCTTGCTCACTGGGCTGCGGTTTCAGGGTGCTGGGGATCACAGCCAGCTGGCTGGGGCATCTTCCTCGGAAAATCCTGACCTCCAGGCAAGAAACAAGGGCCTCAGCAAAGCCAGGAGGAGCCGAACCAGCCCTCACCCTGCTCGGTAGCAGCTCGTTCATCGATTTGCATCACTCCAAATCCGTCTGCCCGGGCTGCCGCCGGATGAATTATCCAGATGCGGAGCCCAAGGCCAGCTCTGGCTCTCCTGTTTTTTGTTTCCGCTCCCAGCTCTTACATATATTAAGGAAGGCAGGGCTGGAGGGGGGGAAAGGGAGAGGTTGGGGAAGAGGAGAAAAAAAATTACGGCTCCCAGATCAAAACAATAATCAGCTAAATGAATTCCGCAGCATTTTCCCGCATGACTGCGAGTGATAATTTAGTGCAGCAGCCAGCTGGAAGCAAAAGGATTAATTCTGCACTTAGTGACACCCATGTGAATAATTCATCACACGCAGACCCCTTTTCGCTGACCCCCCTGGGCAATCACTGCAAAGACCCCCACCAGCCGGCCCCGGCCTGCCACGGGTCCCCCGGGGACAGGGGGGATGCAGTCGCCAGTGCAGCATCCAGACCTATCCCAAATTCACTTTATGGATAGGATTTTTTTTTTTTTTGCAGATGGGAGCAGAGGCTGGCGGCTGCAGTAATTAGATCGATCGGGCTCACGGCCGCATCCTAACCTGCCCAAGGGCCGGTCCTGGAGCCAAAGGCTAGCAGGGTTCCCCCCTCCCCCAGGAAACACAGCCAAATTCCCTCCCTGCTGTGACATCCCTGGGGACCACGAAAGCTGAGGGATGAAGACAGCTGGACGTTTGTCACTGTGGTTAACCAGCCTGGCCCTTCTCCACATGGAGACAGTGAACTGCTTCTCCCAAATACCCTGTCTGTGTCCCTGCCTGCCCCCCTGCCTCCAGCCGGGATTTCCCGGGAATACGAGCATGTTCCAAAAGCCCTGGGAAAGCAATGGGTGCACAAGGGCAAGAACAATGCTGCTTTTTCCAGCTGCCCAGCGGGTCAATCCAGAGCCCTGAGCCAACAGGCACAAGGGATAAAACCCAGATCCAGCCCAGCTCATCCCCGCCTGAGAGGTTTAGAGAGAGGGCAGGAGCTCTAAAGAGCCATCTCCTGCCCTGTCCCCGTCCCCATCCCTCTGTGCCTCGGGGTTCACCATCCCCGGCATCTCACCTCCGATTGAAGGAGCTGCAGGCAGAGCCCCACAGTCGGAATGGCCCCAGACGTGGTTTTGAGGTCCGTGCCCTGGGGAGGCAGAGGAAGGGTCACAGCCTGCGCTGGCCTCTGGGTTATCTACCAGGGCTCTCGGTGGCTTTGGCATCACCCAGATGCCATCCAGGCATCCGGGGCTGCAGTTCGGAGCAGGGACTCTGGCTTCCCGTGGGATGCTCGGGAGCTCTGTGACAGGCTGCCCACCCAGATGTGGAGAGCCCTCCCACCATGCCAGCAGCTATAGGTACCATCCCCTATAGGTACCATCACTGTGCCACCCTGCCCAGCATCGCCCAGCGTCACCCCGCAGCCCCCGGCTCACCTGCACGGCGAGGCCATCCACACGCATCTCGCCGCTCCGTGCCGCCAGCTCTCGGAAAACACGGCTGGTGAGGGGCAGCACTGAGTATCCCACGGGAATGAGGGTGCCTGGAACATCCCACACTGGGGAAGGGGCAAGAGCAGCTGGCTGGGGTCATGGCAACCCAGGACCTGCCCCCAGCCAAACCCGGGGATGAGGGAGAGCATCCTCAGTGGTGTTCCCAGACTCACTGGTTTTGTACGGATAATATTCGATCACCAGGGCGGTGTCTTCGGAGAAGAGGGTGGCCACGTCTCGGCCTTGGAAGAGGAAGGAGGTGTCCCAGGTTGGCTGCTCTGGGGGCCCGGCTGGTCGGGACATCTTAGGAGACAACAGGAAAATTATCCTTCAGATACCTTCTCTCTCTAGAGATAAATAAGCAGACAGATAGGAGGGAGAGGAGAGATGGAGGTAAAGCACAACCTGTGCAGCTGCATCCCATCCCTGGCTCAAAAAGCAATCCCAAATCCCAGTTGCTTGAACTGGTTTTCACTGGCTCTTCGAGCTTGGCTGCTTCTCTCCAGCTAATCCCTGCCAGCATCTTCCTCCTCGCAGAGCCGGAGGAGGAAAACAGCCCATGGATCAACTACTCCATGCTTAAAAACATGATGGGAAGAGCCTGGAGGATGAGCGCTGACTCGAGGATGAGCCTTTTGATATCTGTTGGGCAACCCGGCACTCAGGCTTGGGAAAGGGTTTTGCGACGATATACGGACCCCGAAAGCCTGCTTGCAGGCTTTCGGGGTCCGTATATCGTCGCAAAACCCTTTCCCAAGCCTGACGCCTGGGTCGCCCAATAGATATCGAACAGCGGGCAACGTGTTTATCCCCAGAGCCAGGAGCTGTCGTTGGAAATGGCATCGGTCCATCCCCGCCAGCAGCTGCTCCTCTTCGCCTTTGGAGAGCCCCGCCAGCTCTCCAAAGGTCAGCCTTAACACTGGCCGCCCAGCGCCAAGAAATTATTGACAAGCGGCTCCTTTTTAATGCTGTTACTCTATCCCCTCGGCCAGCAATGCTCAGCAGGGATGAGATGCCGATTGGCTTTTCTGCGTCAGCACATTTCTGCTTTGTCGGGGATGGTGGGAGGAGGAGAAGGATGGGGGGGGTCTCCCTCTGCTCACATTTGGGGATGCTAATGGACATTACGCAGCTTGGAGACCCGCAGCAGTGCATTACCCAGCCCTGGGGGCTGTTAGCAAGGGGAGCACGGGGCTGGGATGCTTCAGAGCCCGAAAACACCTCCCTGATGGGCCGCATCAGGCAGCGCTGTTAGTGCTGGCTCAGCACCGGGCTTGGCTTTCTCAGATGGGAATTTGTCAGGGGCTCCCTAGAATCAGCTGGGATTTTTAGCTGGGATGCAGCTTGCTTCGACTGCAGGAAGCCCAGTCTGTGCTTGTAAGTCCTTAGGAAAAACCCACATGGACTGGGGCAGCTCCCAGCAGCCGGATCCGGCTAAGCACGTTCGAGTCGCTCCTCTCCTTTCCCAGCCTGCATCCCAGCCCACGGGGCTGTTTCATCAGCCTCAGAAAGCCCAGTTGTGGGGGGAAAAAATCTCCTAAAAAACACCGAGCGCCGCCTCCAGTTACTTTTCCTGGCATCGACCTGTACAAGACACTGCGAGGTGGTGCCGTTTTAGACTCAGCAGGGAAGGGAAAAGTCAAATGTGGGAGCATATTGTTAATTTGACCCCAATTGTCGGAGGTCCCGAGCCCACATGGCTCCTCTCACCGCGACAGGGATGGGAGATGACGTTCCCCGTTTTCCCCCCCTGATTTGGGGGACTGGGGCGGGGGGTGGGGTGGACAGGAGTGCTGGCCAAGGACCGGGCTGTCTCCCACCGGCTCGGCAGGACAGATGGATGCTCTGTGCCGGGGCGTCAGAGCTGATGCACTGATCTGGGCAGACGTCTTGGCACAACAACCGCCTCTGCCCAGAGCCACCTGGAGAAAAGCAACAAAGAGGATGGGGAAGAGGAGGAGGAAGGAGACGCCTTCATTCTCCTTGGCTACCCCAGCCTGTCTCCTGCACAAAGGCTGGTTCAAAGGCAGCATCATTGGCATAAGTAGAGGCAGAGGGGGCCAAGCCCACAGGATCTCTCCTGCCTTCCCAAGGGACGGGCCCATCTCTCAGTCCTTATGGCTGCCTGTCTGGAGGGTGCAGACCCCAGAAGAAAGTGAGAAGCTCCAGATAAGTGGGTTAAACTGGAGGGTCCTCAAGGGAAAGAGCCCCAGAGGAGATTTATCATAGAGGGGACCACCATCATGAAGGCTTGAGCTTGGTGCTGGGAGGACGGACGCAGTGTGGCTTTCTGTAGGAGGCACAGCCCAGTGCCCATCCACCCCATGGATTTGCCATTGCCACCAGCATGTCCAAAGCCGTCCCTTTTGGTGAGAAAGGGGCTGTTGGCCAGAGAAGAGCACCCAAGGAGAGCATGCAACGCTCTTGCAGGTGGCTCTGTGCAGGTCTTGGCTAACTCCTGGCCAGGAAGACCAGGTCTCCAGGAACCCCGGCCAGGCAGGGAAGGGTTAACCACCCAGGAACCCAAAACCCCCCTAAGTAAGAGGGGTGTCCTGCTGAAGGTGAACCCAAGCGCCGTTGTCTGCAGATGCTGATGGGAACCGACAGGCGAGAGGACACGCTGGGCTGGCAGAATTATTGAATCCGATTAGCCTGCCCGGGAGTTTGCTCGGGGAAAGCCATTAACCTCTAGAACTGGAGCAGCAACGCTCCCTCCTCCTCCTCCCAGCCTTTCTCTAACCTTTCCTCCCGGGCATTAGGAGTTCTTCCTCTCTGGGAAGGAACCACGTCCTGCAGGTGGGGAAACTGAGGCAGGAGATGGGGGGAGAGAGCGGATGGGGGTTACACAGCTCCCCGGGGCAACCTGTCCATGCATCTCCGGGGAAAGCATCCTCAGCGATGTGCAAAGACAGACAGAGCCATGTGGGCACGGAGGGGAGGAGGAGGAGGAGGAGAACGCAGGCCAGATGGCCGGGTTTAATCACTCGTCCTCCTGCATTGGGCTCCCACGGCTCCGCGCTGGCACTGCTGCCTGTGCTGGGGCTGTGCGGCTTGGCTTGGGCTCGCCTGGGTACCACCAACTTTCTGGGGGTTTGCATGTGGATTTATCTATATAAATCCAAAGGCAATGCATTTTGGCTGCAGTTAGAGGAGAGGAATATCCCCGCTCTGGCTGAGAAACCGCAGCCTCGGGGTGCTGCGTCCTGGAGCAAAGAGATGGAGGGGGGAAGATAACGTAGGGGCAAGTGCACAGGGATTAATTTCCTAAAATCTGCTCTGGAGCCAGCGTGGGAGGCCTGTACCCCGAACCCGTTGCCATGGTGGAGCTGGGGGTGCTGGTTCCAGGGGGGCCCAAAGCTGGTGCAGACCTAAAGCAGAGGGTCCCCCGAACTCCCCCCACCACTCACCTGCAAAGAACAACCCAGGGAGGCGGAGGGGGAGCAATAGAACAACAATTATTGCAATGAATGAAATGCACTAGCGGTTTTTATGATAATTCACCGCCTCGTGGGCGACTTGGCATTTGGCCGGCCTCCTCTAAGTAATATTTTATTTATGGGCTCCCCGAACGTGTTGATACAGGGCATTTCGCTCCGAGGCGATCAAAATTCAACACACGGGGGACAAGGACCGAGACGGAGAAACGTGTGCTCCACTGGCGTTCGGGACCAGCTGGATCTGTCTTTTGGGGGCAGCTGGACATCTGCCCTCAACACACTTTCGGCTGACACTTTTCAGAGGCAAAAGGATGGAGCAGCTCTGGTTCTGAGGGGTGTCAGCTTCTGGCTCGGCTGCCCCATCACACCTCCTCCCTGCCCCTGTGTCCTTCCAGTCCCCTGCCTCTCCCTCTCCACCAATTTTTGGCAGGGCTCGGGAACAAAAGCGGGGCCCTCCTCCTGCTCAATGATGATGCCGCGTGCCGAAAGCATATGTTTCCCTGGCAACAGCTATTTTGAAGACGTGCGTTGCTAGCTCTCCCCGTGGTACTTGAGGGCCAGGGAGGAGAAGGTCTCTGCCTTCGAGAGGCAGCACTCGAGCCGGAGGCGTGAGCGGAGTAGGGGGAAAAACGAAGGACAAAGGCACAAACGAGGAGCTGCCTGTGGGTTTCCACAGGCGGGGTGAGGCGGACAGGAGGACCGTGTCTTTGATGCTCAAAGCATCGCTTTGCCCCTGAAGCTTTTTGCTGTGCGGGGTGCTCAGCTCCCCAGCCAAAGGAGGGATGCTCAAGTGGGATAGATGCTGCCAGAACCGTTCATCTCTGCGGATGCGCTCGGCCTCGTACCTGTGGGCAGCCGTGGTTGGCAACTGGGGCGATGCTGAAGGCTGCTGCCGGAGGGTCTGGGAATGTGATGGTGATGGGGCTGATGCCGGGACAGGAGGTAGGGTGCTTCTCCATGCGATGCCTGAGAAGTGATGGAAAAGAGGAAAGTCAGCATGTGTGGGGCCAAATCCACTCCCGCCAAGCCAAGCACCGTGGGATGCTCAGGTTGTCCCAAGCCCAGCACCTCTCACCCATGTCACCAGCAGCCCCCCGTGGCCATCACTCACTTGTACTCCTGAACATTGGTCACAACTCTAGCCACGGCGACGAGGGCCCCGGGGGGGGCAGCCAGGGGGGCCGACAGCCCCCGCAGCAGCACCTGGGAGGTAGGGGGGGTCCACGGTAAGGGGGTCAGTAAATGTGGGGGGAAAAAAGTCTGCCTTAATTCAGCATCAACAGCTGGCAGAGCAGGGGACAACGTGCAGCAGCATCCTCCCCGAGTCGAGTTGCTCTGGTCCATCCCGGACCCTGCAAACCCCTCCCGCCACCTCCTGTCCCCAGGGCCACCTCTCACCTCCAAGGCCACATAGCTCAATCCAGCACAGCGAGGGATGAAGCTCCTTCTGCGGATGAGGGTGACATGCAGGACCATCCCGGCGGCGTCCCGCGTCCTCGGCTGTTCGCGGAGGAGAGAAAACCATGGGAGGAGGAATGGTCAAGGCCACTAAATGCGGGTGCTGGGCACGCAGACAGCCCATCACTGACAATAAAGCACTAACTGATAATTAAAGCTCACTGTCCCCCGGAGCCTTCCCGGAAAAGATCAATATAATAAATCCTTCTGCATTTAAATATTTAATCGTTCCCGATCTTTGTGCAGGGAAGAGGAAACTAATTTCTGCCAGCCAGAGCGTAGGGGAGGCTGATTTGGGGGAAGTATTGAGTGAGTTTGCCAGGTCTCAGCTGTACAGGGACCTATCAGCCAAGTCCCCGGGACTGTTAACGTGTTGAGACAGAGAAATCCTCACTGAGGGGCTTGGGCAGTGGCTTCTCTCTGGGGCTGAGAACCTGCTTGCATTAATTAATGTACTGTGGCCCCTGTTTAACAAACACTCTGATGTATGGCCCAGCCCTGCATCTCCTTCCCCAGGATGCTGAGGGTAAAAGCACTTCCCAGCTTGCAATCCCATCACTTTTCCTCCACGTTTTCCCACCGGAGATTTAAAAAGCCCAGTACAACGCCTGCCTTGTTCCCACCTCGTGGGAAGCCTGGGCAGCTCTTTGCTCACAAGCCTCTTTGAGCACCTTCCCCAACTTGCCAAATTCAGGTTTCCCACTGGGATTACACTGTTACACAAGGGTGCCTTCGCCTGCAACCCCCAACTCCAGCTGGGGTGAAAATCAGAGTTACAAGCAGGAATAAGCAGTGGGAAGGAGGGGCAGGAGCCATACCTACCAGCACCAGCCTGCAATGGTGGGGCTGGAAGGGCTGGAGGTGCCGCACTGGCAGCTGGAAGGTCCCCAACGCCTCCTTGGTGGCTTTGTCTGCCACGGTGAGAGTCAGGGCTGCAAGGGAGAGAGTCGGCTATCAGGATGAGTGGGGCTGGCCGTGGGGTTTGAGGAAGGGTGAAGTGCTGGGGAGAGGTTTGGGGCAAGGTCTGGGTGAAGAAGGACAGAGGTGATGGGGGGATTGATTTGTTTCCAGCAGTCCCTTCCCCTTGCAGGTCGTGGCGGGGTGGACAGGGACAGGATTTATACCTGTCCTGGGTTTATATGCATGCACAAACACACACACGTGCATCCCAAGGAGCCCAGGCATCCCCAAGAAAGTGAAGCTGGTGAGCAACCAGCACCAATGCAGCTCAGATTCCCATCTAAGAAGCCAGGATTTCCCACTGATCTATCTAATCCGCTTCCCTGGCTCCAGCCCACCCTGCTCAGCTGCCAGGGTGCCATCCTGCCCTGAGCCCTCCTTGCCCTGGGGTCAGCCCACAGCCCACGGGTGGGTTTTGCAGACACTTGCCACCATGGCATCTGCCCTCTCAGGGGTGCCCGGTCACCGTCTGTCCCCCAGCATGGCAGCATCACCCCCACCTCTTCCCTTAATTTAAAGCAAAGCTGCAATTTAGTTGACAAGCCCGAGCAGGAGCCTTTTATCAAAAAAAAAAGAGCTGATGGAAAGGAAAACCGCCCTCTCTTTATGCTGCCATCAAGACTTGGGCTTCCCTTCCCCCAGCTTAATGACTGCACTGAGGCACCCGCCTTAACTCCTGCTTGGCCAACCTGGCGATGCCACAGGTTGTGCATGGCCCCAAAATGAAGACGATGGACCAGGCAAGTACATGGACCACCTTTTTCTTAGGCTCATGCTTTTCAGCAAGTGCTCAATTTATACAGAGATTTTATTTTTCTCCCAGCCCCTTGTGGAAAGAGCACTAGGGAAAATGTTCTGGGGTCGAGCGAGAGAGACAAGTGGCTTTTCTGCTAGTCATCATGGATGATAGATAACGCTCGGCAGCCCCGCTGATGGAAACCATATTTCTGGGCAAGAAAAGGATGGAAACAGTATTTCTGGGCAAAAAAAGGTGCAAGCTGCACCTGGAAATGACACCGCCAATCTGAACATCTGGGGGATGAACACCTCTGAACATCTAGGGGATGCTGGGAGGCGGAGGAGTGGGGCCGGAGGTCCCATTGGGTCTCCCCGCATCTGTCCCGGTACCACACAGGGCAGGTCCGAAGTACATCAAAAGCTCCTCAACTTCATTTAGGTCAGGACCTAATGGGATTAAACACGATGTGAAGATTGGCTCCCACAGTTTGTTTTGCAAGGGGCTGATTAAAATCAAATCCCAGCCCCTAATGCCATGACTTTTATTACAGTTACAGACTCTGCAGCCCTGCATGGGGAGTAACAGCGTCGCAATGTGGGTCCAACTGATACAAGGTGTCGGGGCCAGGACAGCAGCAGGGAAAGATTTGGGGTGCTCCCCCCGATGCTGATTCCAATGGGATGCTTTGGAGGATGCCCAGAGCTCAGCACCGTCACCTGCCCCATCCTACAGCACTATATCTGGGGACATGTCCCTCCTGGTCCTACCTTGAAGCCACCACAGCCACCGAGGGCTCAGGGCATGGCTCGTCCCCATCATGGCCACCCTCTGCCTGGGTGCTGCTTGGGGTGCTTTGGAGCACGGGCTCCCTAATATCCCCAAATTAACCCTTGGATAAGGTGAGACCCATGTCCCAGTCCCCAGCATCCCTGTCCCCACAGTCCTCCCAACGCTCTCACCTGCCCAGCCCGCATCTTCAGCATCCATTTCCACCGTCACCTCCTCCTCCCAGGTGGGCGTGTGGGTGGGCACCAAGGATGCATGGGTCGCCTCTGCCTTCTGCTCATCCCCTCTGCCGGTCTTACTGGGAGGAAAAGGAAGGCAAAACAGGCTGGTTACTGGGTGAGGAAGGGGAATGTGTCAGCAGGGAGCTGGGCCTGGGAGAGGGATGAGCACTGTCCCCACTCGGTGCAGCTAACAGCGGCCAGCCCACCCTCCCACCACCCTTAGCAAATCTCCGCTGTGCTGGGGGTCCAGGGCCGGTTTTACTCCTGGCTGCCGGATCCTATCAAGCCCCCAGTGATGGGGTTTGCAGCCCCTTTTATCCAAAAGGCTGTTTCAGACCCCGGAGGCTAATTATCTGGCTGTATTGATGAAGGGACAGGGAGGAGGCTGCTGGGAAAAGGAGAGAGAAGATTGAATGTTAACGACTGCCATCATTAAACTCAGCACATAACAAGGCTGAGCAATAATTACAGTGGCGTTAGTAGCTATGGGCCCCGGGTAATTCTTCATCTGTGCTGGTGCTGGTGCAGGGCCATCGTCATCAGAGCTGTTTTGGGGTTGTTCCTGCCACTTTTATCAATTGATCATCAATTAGTCACAAGCTTGGCTAATGATAATAGTGCCCCCTCCCAATTAGGGGGCTGACAGATCTTTTAGGCAGTCTTCTTGAGACACTTGGTGATATCCTGGGAGTCCTAAGACCGCGGCAGAGTCCCATTGCCTGGTGACATGGTGACCTCAAGTCCTCTCCATCCCTGATGGTGGGGTGAAGGGGGACGGTGACGTGGCATCAGGCCAATGTGACACAGATGCCCTAGCCCTGTCAACGGGTTGCTCTGGATATTAAGATGATAAACTGTCCGGTGCTGGCTCCTCCAGAAAAGCTCTTGCTGGAGCAGAGCCAGAGCAGCTCTTAGGGAGAGGTTACCAGAGCACTGCAGTGACTGAGAGCAAACGGTGGCACTTTGCCACCCCCTGAGAGCTGGAGACCCCGGCTCTGGGGGAAAGGAGATGACAAAGGCCCTTCCAGCTATAAGATGAGCTCCAGGTAGTGGTGGGACCAAGCAGGTTCATCCCAGCTGGATGGAAGGATGCTTTATGCTTGCAAGACCTCCATCCCCTCTTGTTGCTGAAGACACCGGTCTAATGGACCCTCAGCCAATCTGCACGCCACGTCCTGTGCTCCTCTCCCATCTCCCGCGTGTCCCCTTCCCCACTGGAGAAGCCCACCTGCATCCCGCAGGGATGGAGCCGGGCTGGCCAGCTCTGGCAGGTGGGAATTAGCATCGGGCTGGCACCGTTGTGGAGGGGCTGGAAGAAAATTGGCTCTCCAGTAATGAGCTCTGTGGGGGATTGCTCTACCAGCAACGTGCTCAGAGTCCGAATGAAGCCAGACCTGGGCTGGGGGGGTGGGAGGAGGAGGAGGGTGAGAACCTGCTGCTCTGGGCCCCCTTCATTATAGCCTTGCCTAAGGAAGAGAAAGCATTCAAAAAGAGCTGTGAAGTGGGGAAGGGAGGGGAGGGGGCGGGAAACAACCCACCACAGTACAACACATGGGGATGTGCTTCAAAATCAAATGAATAGGCCGGGGGCAGCAGGAACAGTGGAAAGTGGAGATGGTTTGATATCTCCTCCTCACCCCAATCAGCCCCAGATGGGCTGGTGATGGGGTCTCTGGTGAGCAGGGGCTGCAGACAGCTGCCCATGGGAATTGCATGCCTTGGGGCAGGACATGACTGGAATGGACCAAGAAATGCTCCTCTGATGCTCTGCATCCCTCCCTGCCTGCTCCGGGGCAGGCACTGCACTCTGCTGTGCTACGGGGATGCACCAGCCACCCACCGCTGTGATAAAAGATAAAGATAAAAGATAAAGACGGCCGCCCCCAGGGAGTTATTACACATCAACATCTCGGCTATGGTGCTTGGGGACAGCATCACGCAGCCATCCTGCTGCGTGTGACACCCACGTGCCCAGCAAAGGGCTTAGCAGGGCTGTGCCCGGCCCCTGTAAATATTTATTTAGCTGGCATTATAAGTTATTATCTCTACAGGGTGAGTTATTGCTCAGGACTGACATCCCTGCAGAGGCAACGCGGTGGTGCAGGCGCATCGTTCTCAGGGAAGAAAAATCCCATGCAGCACGGCCACGGTTCACAGGACTGATATTCAGGGTGTTACTTATGTGGCGGTTGCATGATCCGGCCCTGGGGAAGGCAACACTGCCTGCCACCACACAGCCCCACTGCGCTTGGTGCTGAGCTTGGGGGGCTCAGGTGCAGTTTGGGTAAATAAATACAGATAAATAAATCACAGAGGTGTAAGCAATTTCTGAAAAGATTCAGAACGAGAAAAGAAGAATTATAATTCCCCCTCTCCTTTGAGAAACCCAATTTTTATGTTGCTCCTGACTCTCTAACCCTGGGATGGTCCATCTTCATCCCACCATGAGCTAAGCCGCATGCTGGGGTGAGGAGGGGACCCCCAAAGACCCCTCTTGGTCCCAATTCCCCCTTCTCCCGCCTCGCTCTGGGGTTATCGGCTGAGCCCCTGGTTTATTTTGGGGCACATTGCAGAGCCAAAAGGCTTTGCTTGCAGGCACACCTTAACCCCTTCCCAGGTGGAGCATCCCACCCCCACCACGACAGGACCACTCCCTGCGCAGGCAGACCTGCAGGCAGCGGGACATCGGACCCCCCATCCCCCAGGCTGGGAGCAGACAGCGCATTCAACAGTGACCTTGAGTTTCTTCTCTTGGCACTGAAAAGCAGAAAGGAAGAAGCGAGGAGGTACTTGCACTCGCCCGCGGTACTCAATGGAGAGGAGAAGCCGGCCAGAGCCAGGCGCTTTGTGCCATTAATTGCAAACACACCTGGCTCCGGCGCGCCAAGGTCATCCCTGCATCCCGCCGGTCCAGGAGCAATTTATCTGTGCACACGAGGGAATGAAAGGAAAATGCAGAGCAAACCCACGGGTGCCCCTGAAAGCAGGGAGGGGGGATTTGCTCAGCATTTAGAGGATGAGGAGCAATGCCAAGCCGCTGCCAGGTCCCTGGAGCATCCCCGGAGGAAGAGCCCTGTCCTCTCCAGGGCAGAGATGAACCAAAGCCCATCGGGATGCTTGTGTGGGCTCTCCTGCTGCTCGAGGTCTTTCAGATTCACTCGGCTAAGCCTTTCCCTCCCCGATCCTCTGCACCGAGAGCTGGAAGCGATGCACACAACTATGGAGCGCCACGGGATGCTGACTCCAGGCACGAGCGACTAGGCACAGCCACAAAGGGCTGGTGCAAGTGGTATTTCTCCCCTCCTCCCATCCCACTCCTGATTTTGGGGGTGATGCTCGGGATGCCGGCAGTTTGAGCTCAGGCTGGCTCCGCTGGTGGTACCCAGCCGCTTCGGGGGGATCGGCTGCCGTCAGGTCCCTACCAGCATATCCACCGACCGCTTCTCCTTCCCGTCCGTAAAAACCCACCTTTTAACTGCAACATGCTACTCTCCTTTAAAAGCAAGTGCCCTGAAAAACAATAACTGATTCCCTTCTGCCTTGGCTCCCTCACTATGGTTACTAAAAGGCCCCTCATGTGTCCTGCATCCCTAATACCACCCTCCCCTCCCCTCCATCACTCCCCCGTTACCATGGCAATGCGGTGATGGAGCAGCACCAGAATGTAAAGAGAGATGCAACAATCACACGCCACCCTCGTGCTATCATTTAGGATATTGATGTTTAAATCTCCTGAGATTATCTGGGTATAATTGGTTTATGGAAATAGAGACAACTCCCGTGGTGGAGTTACTCAGGCTGGTGGGGCGGAGAGCGGGTCCTTGGCATGGGGGCGGGTGGGAAAGAGGGGAAGGGGTGATGGAAGAGTGGCATCAGGGGCTGCCAGCCCACATGCCAGCCAGCTTCTGCTGGGCTGCAGGTGCCAGCCAGCCCCCAAAACCCAACAGACGCTGCCCCCACGATGGACAGCCGCATCCTGCCTGCCCAGGGAGCCTCCGGGATGTCCGATGCGGCTGGTGCTGGGCACCGTGGAGAAAAGGCGCACTGTGCCACACCAACAGACCTTGGGATCCCCTTCACCATGGAGTTCGGGGTTTCTACATGGGAAAATGCCTGGCAAGCAACAGTTTGCTTTACACGCTTGCAGAGAAGATGTTTTCTGGCTTTCACAGCCCCAGCTGCTGATTGTCCCCAGCGGACAAGCCCCAGCCCTGCTTCCCTGTCCTCTGCCATTGATGCACCCGCTTGGGTACCAGCGTGCTCGGCACTGCCCCGGGGAGATGCCCCGGAGAAACCGAACTCTGCAGGCAGGCGATGCCCTGAAGCCACCAACAGCTGCTTTCTCCCCCCTTTTCCAGGGAAGCAATGCCGAAGCCTCTCTGCCTCCTGGAAAGGCTCTTTGGGATCACAGGCTCACCCCGCAGTAGCTTCGAGCGGAGCAGCCTCCCTCTTAACACAGACCAAAGCATGACCGGCTAATTGAGTCCCCTGGCACATGCATAATGCACAAGGAGCCAAATTCTCCTTACCCAGGCATCCTGTTTTATTTATTAAAACACTCTTTTATTTATTGTGATATCATCTCGAAACTCAGGCAGCATTACCCTGTGGGTTCTTTGACATCGTTTTATACTTTCAATATTAGGAATGCTTTCTTCCCTATGCCCCAGCGAGCCAAAGCACCCTGTCCCCTGCCTTCCCCATCTCAACAAGGAGTCCCGGCTCCTCTCTCCACACCGAGCATCCCACAGAGGTGACGCTTGTGCATGTTGCCACTAGAGAGGTTTCCCCCCTCCGTGGGGCTTGCGAGTTAATAAAAGGGTGACAGATCCTAAACCCTTTCGCTGCATCCCCACGATCTCCGTTGTCCCCCTTCGCGGATGCTGGGTACTCACACAATGACGTATGGCCATGGCACCTGGCCCTCTCGCGTGGCCGGCAGGTTGCTGGCACTGTGGAGGGTGACGGTGATGGCTTCCTTCCCCATGTGGGCCACGTGTCCCCCACCAGCCACTGGTGCATGCCCAGGCTTCTCCTTCCTGGCAGGGGACTTGGATACCTGCTGGGAGCAAGCAGGAGAGACGTCAAGGTGGGGAGCTGCTCGCCGCTCCTGCAAAGCTGCAGGCATGTCCTTGTCACCCAACCTTGTCCCCATGGCCCCAGCTCAGCGCTGAGAGCCCACATGGGGAACGTGACGTCCCCAGCACATGCCCATGACCCAAACTTGTCCCCACAACCCCTGTTTAATGCTGAAAGCCTGGACGGAGGAGAAGAAGCTAGGAGATGGTGTCACCAGCATATCTCCATCACCTGAGCCTGTCCCCAACACCTTTGCTCGATGCTGAGATCCCAGATGAGGGAGAACAAGCTGGGGAGATGGTGTCCCCGGCACATCCCCGGCACAGCTGCCTCTTCCCTGTCCCCAGTGCCCAGCTGTGGCTCCACAGCTGGAAGTCACCGTGCCACGGCAGGGCTACAATGGGTGCCAGGCTCTCTGGGAGGACACCCAGGAGCACGAGAACATCCTGCATGGAGTGAAACCAGCCCAGCGTCCCTGCTCAGTGTGGTCCCATGGGGGCCAGCTACACCCTGGTCCAACCAAAGGCCTCAAGCCAAGTCACCAAAACAGGGATTAACCATCTAAAGCACCTGCATTTCCCCCCTGCCCCCCCACCAAGTCCCCACCATCCCCCTGCTCCCCCTTCTCACCAGCCCAGGCATCTCTGCAATTTATAGGCGCTCTGCAGGAATTGGGATCTCAGCCCAGTCCAGGGGGGAAAAGGGGAGAGTGTGGCAGCTCCCCCCTCCAGCTCATTAATTCCCACCAGCTGATGTGATAAGGAGCAGCAGAGCTGCAAGCTGCCGCTCCTTACCCACAGGAAGGACCGTCCGTTCACCCATCACACCCCCTCCAAGTGAGAGACGGCGCCATCCCCCACCGGCTGCATCCTCACCATGCCACTGTCTTGGGCGGCACACAGCGTTAATGCATCTAATATCAGATAGTCCTGTGGCTACAAGGGGTTAAAACCCACCCTGCACCGCTTCAGACCCTGAAAAGCAAACCCTGCGTGCATCCTTCTGACCTCCTGGGGTTGAAGCAAGAGCTCCAGCCCAGCAACCACCCCGCGGGCTTCTCAAAGCCACTGCCTGCAAATCCCCTCCGACGCACGGCTTTGCCTCCAAACTCTGTAATGGGGGGCTGGTTCGTTCTAAGCCCTCTCCCTCATCTATCCCGAGGCTGCCTGGCTGCAGCAGTGATGGGTTTGGCAGTGGGGAGGTGACCCACCACCATGGGGGATAACAAACCCAAACCTGAGGATCGCTTGTGGGATGGAAACCTGGGTGCTCTGACCAGCAGCAGCCCAGAAAAAACATTTAAATCAGCTTCCCCTAGCCCCTTATTTTTTTGCTGTCAGCTCAGAAGCCATCTGGAGCTTGGGGCTGGGTGCTGGGGACAGGCTCGGCATCCGTGACAGCCAGAAAGCGGCACTGAAGGAGCAGAAACACTAAAGTGAGGGAGGATTCCCTGACCTGCAGAGCGGATGGAGGGGATGGATCCCAAGCCCACCCTGGCTCCAGCTCCATGGCAATTATCCCCCAGCCCAGTGACATTGATGGAGAAGGGAAATTACAGGGTTACTTGACCTGATGTGAGATGATACCCCTCAAGTGATGCCTCCCACGGGCACAGGCTCTCCCCGCTGGCAGCCAGAGCTGTCCCGCACCCTACCCGAGCACCCCAGCTCTCCTTGCACCCCCAAAAGCAGAGCACGGCAAGCCCTGACACCTTCGCAAGGCTTTTCCAGAGAGGAAGGGAAAAGGGGGGGATGTGGAAGAACATAAACACTATTCTAAAAAAAAAAAAAAAGCACAATTTTGCCCCATCCCAGCATCAGCAAAGAGGGCAAACTGTGGGGTGGAGCTGGGAAAGGAGGAGAAAAGCCCAGACTTGGGTTTAATACCCCTGGGCTGTATCAACACAAGCTGCATCACTGAGGGAGGGCAAGGATGTCTGAGAGCTTCGAGGAGGCAGGGTGACGGATTTGTAGGTAGAAAGCACGTACGGGTGTGCAGACAGGGATGCTCTCCCTGAAGACCCCTCTCCTTTCAAGAAAGCATCTGTTCAGGCTCCGGCTCTGGAGTTTTAGTGAGTATTTGCACCCCAAATACTCACTAAAAACCCAATCCAGAGGAATTCCAGCTGGCAGAGCCAGGAAACAACCTTGTTTTGAATTGCACGGACATCTCCGAGCTTGCTGATGGAGCCTTGCTCTGGGGGACTCCAGGACCTAAGCTGTGATGCTAGATCGGTGTCCCACACCACACCGTTATTTAGAGCTCCAGATCACTATTTTTGGACATTTTGCAATGCGTTCCCTATTTTCTCTCACATTCCAGACAACAGAAACAAGTTTCTTAGTGCGCCTCTTCATACCCGCCACTTATATTTACATCTCCCTGAAAATCCAAGTAGGTTTTACCACTAGCGATGGTTACAGCATGATAATTAGTGAGGGGTTTTAATAGAAAATTCACGAGCAGTTAAGCTAAGTAAAACTCAGCAGGAGAACAAAACATTTTAAAAATAGAAGATGTGAACAATGCCAGGCTTTGCAGGCAGCCGGTACCCAAAACCCTCAGCAAGGCTGTGATTAACTACCAAAAAAAAAACCCCAGTCACTATTCAAAGCCAGGAGGAAATTCAGTATTTCTTCCAGAAAGGAGGGTGCCTGCGGTTCCAGGTAGAGCCCACGCTTGTTTTTCAGCTCTCTTACTCAGTGGGAAGAAAAACTTCTCCGTCCTTGCCAAACCAAGTGCTCTCACTCAAGAGTTTGCAACCTGTAGCTTGCGGAGGTGGAGAAAAAATAAAGTTCCCATGTCCTCAAGGGTCTCAGCTGGGGACACCACATGTTTTAAACATTTCGAGGTCCTTTGGAGCATCACCGACTCCTGCAGAGTATCTCACGCAATCCACTGCCCTGATCCCACACAGCACCTTAACCCCAAGACACCCTTAAAGCATCCTTAACAATGATTATTAATTATTCACACTGCAATGTTGCAGGGAGCTTGATTAACGGTGCCTGAGCTGCCATCATCGTAATTTGTTTTTCTATCAACTCTTTATCATCTCGAAAGAAGCACTGGGGCCGGGCGGCTCCTCTACAGCAGCGCTCAGCCAAGATTAAATTGCTTCTGGCTGCGAGCTGACAAGACATAAATAGCCTCAAGAGCCCGACATTTAGTTCAGGGAGGACAGCCCGGGCCGGGAGCCAGCAGGGACCTCCAGGCATGGCACTGCAGGGGCTCCTCCATCCCACCTTGGTCCCTGTCCACAGCTGGAGACCACGGCTGCATTTTCCCTCTGCCAGAAGGTAGGTGCTTGCAGGATGCTCCTTGAATTTTGATTTCGCCGGCATGCTGGCCAGCACAAGACCAGAGGTGAGTGCCTGGGGCCGTACCCCTGCAGCGTTCACCTCCTCAACCCCGAACACAGCTCTGCCAGTACTCCCTGGGACAATGCACCGCTGCTCTGCAGGAGAAGACACCAGCCCCTGCCTTACCATGGAAGGACTAGGACCCTCCTGGTCCTTCGTAGTGAGCCCCACAAGGCCCCCAGCCCCAGCTAAAGCCAGGAGTGATGCTGCCACAGGAGCAGGGATCCGCTCCTCTATGGTGGGAGCGTTCGCAGCCCTGAGCTCCTCCTTACCCCTGGCAATTTATGAGTGGCTGTTGGGAACGTGTCAGCTTTATCCTCCTCCTGAGACTTCATAAAATAATAGTAGGCTCTGTGAGTGAAGATGGACTGGGGCCGGTGTGAGTTTTCCTATGTGATGTCTCCCCAGGCTCCTTTCAAGCCTCTTTATGGCAGCTAAACACGAGCAAGCCGCTTCCTCTCCCCCAGCAGCCGAGAGGATGGGAAATAAAGTGCCACTTGGCTTTAAACAAGCAGCAGGATCAGGCCACAGGTTACACCTCCAGCGCTGTACCATGAGGGGGCTGAACATGAGGTAGGGCTGGAGTATGGCCAGGACATCCCGGAGCCAGGCTAGGACATCCCAGAGCCAGGTCAGCCTGAGGATGCTGGGTGCTCAGGTGTCCCTTGGGGCATCCCAGCAGATCCAGCCACCTCTCAGGGTTGGACCTCAGGGCTCTGGGATGTAAGAGCACATCAAGAGCCCCCAGGACACTGCAGAGCATCTCCCAGTTATCGAGGCGAGCAGCCAGCTAACAACCGATCGGCTCCATCACAGCAGCAAGCAAGCACGCACCTCCGGGCACAGGGGAACTGGGATGGGGAGGGGGATTTTACACGTCATCAGGCAGAAAAATGCAGTGAAATACGAGCTTACAGCAAGGACTCGGCGGCTGATGGGTGAGTGGATGCAGCTGCTTCGCCCAGACCAGCCTTTGCCCAACATGCTGCACAAGGGACAATTTTGCATCCTGAACTCATGGTTTTCTGAGGGTGGGAGATGCGCTGCATCCCAGCTGCCCCATGCCCTGCTGTCCCCGCATCCCCAGGCTCCGCATTGGTCCCTGCAAGCCGGGGGTGTTGGGGTACAGCATGGCATCCCACATCCATATGGGTTCACACCTCCCCCCCCGAGCATCACGGCTCCTCGTCTGTCTGCCCTGCTTTCCAAAGCAACCGGAGCCTTGGCGCTAATCAGATTTGAGGCTGTGAAATCTCATTTGAGGCTCTATTAATGCATAGCTGGCATGACACAGGCCCCGGCCTGTCTCCAATGAGCAAAACAAGGAAAGCAATCTAGCTGGGAAAAATGCATCTCCCGGAACAAGCTCAGGGGAGCTGGCCAAACACAATTACAGTTAAAAGGAAGATTAAAACAGTATCAGCACTCTTCTTCCTCTGACCCCCACTCCCACCCTGGGGAGACAAGCACCGAGCTGCACCGACGGGCATCCCCAGCACCGTGGTCCTTCAGGAGGGGATGCAATTGCAGCAGGATGCTGTCCCTTCAAAGCAAAGGGCTTTTGCATGTTGCCACAATCTCCCTGCATCGGCGGAAGGCACGTGGGCTCATCCATGCT